TATATATATATATATATATATATATATATATGTATGTATGTATATTTGCACATAAGACATGTTATTGCCACTCTTATGAGAGATTCTCGTCTCTCGTAATTTACATCGTGCGACATTTCGCTGCCAGGGCACAAACTCGCAGAGACGTAGCGAAGAGTTTTATATAAGTTGAAGTTTCAATAAATACTTTGTAAAACTAAACGATTGTTTACGATTTATTAATCGCATTATCATCGTCGTTCGTCACACGGGTTAGTATAAAATACTGATAGAGTACAGCTGAGTGAAGATAAAAGATAATACTACATAAAATATTAATATATCGTCATATGGGCCGATGGTATTATCTGGCCTTCTTAAAGTCCATTAAAATATAGTAAAAACATCATCAACATGATTACAGTAGCATTTTTACACACGATATTCCGTTCGGAAGATATAAATATTTTCTAAAAAAGCACACATGTATAAACTTGAGTATATAAAGTTTAGAAGATTTCTTTGGTACGACGTACTGCTATTTCCCGTACGATTAAAATATGCGACAGAGAAAGTTACGGCTTAAAAAATCTGGAGTCGTATTACAGTTGTAACACAAATGCGCGGGCGAGATCGCAAAAAATTATAAAAAATATAAATATACACACACACACACAAAGTTCGTGGCTACAAGCCTATAAAATCAATCATTTTAAGCTTCCACAGTGCGGAGAAATACTTGATTCGGCTTCCGGGTTAGTGCGGCGTTCATTATCGATTTATTTCCGACGTTTCGTGAATATACTAATTCACTTCTGCAGGGAGAAGAACGATCTGAAGAAACTGCCTGGTATCAAACAAAATCAATCGATACGTAGCGATGCGACTCGTCGCCAGGAATAAGCGAACACGAGATATATAACCTTTACTTCAATTCATAGCAAAAGTCATAGTTTGGCGGAGGCTCAGGTATAGCGGGTGGATCCTGCGGAATGTCGATTCCTTCGGCGTCTAGAAGTCTCAGCTTAATATCCATCGATAAAAGAGTCTCCAGGTCATTTTGTGCCTCTTTACTCAGCATTGGGTTTCCTGCAGGAAGATAAGACAGAATATAAAGCATCGTTTCTGTGTATCGTCTGCTATTAGAAAGAAATATGTATTGAATCAGCAGCGTACCGAGTAAGGCGTTGATACCATCGGTCCAATAATCAAAGACCTGCTCGTCCGGCGCGACGAAATCGAGACTAGAAACTTCGACGGAATCCAAGGCCAAGGAGAACGCCAATTGGTGAGTAGTTTTCCGTCTTTGCAGGTCCTTCATGTGCGGACAGTCCCTGCCGATTATCAGCTGTCGAATCTCGACTACCGCCAATTTCGTAGGAAGATCGTCGATGGTTGGCACAGATTTCTCGTCGCAGTCTCCGTAATGGAACACTTTGTGATTTGGCGATAAGCGAACGTACCAGAACTTATCTTTGATTCTCTAAACGTGTCAAACGAGGCGTTTGTTAAGGGACAACCTACGCACATTTACGTATAACGTTTGGCGTATCTGATCAAAATATATCACATACTTGTCCTCTGGCACTGTACTTCATGAATCTGGTGCCCTGAACTAGAAAGCCTAATCGCTGTTGCTGAATTAACTCTGAGATTTCCGGAGTGATCTGCTCTCTGAGCTCAACGATCGGCCTCGCATGGCTCTCCCATTCTTCCCTACTTGTCCTTTCCTGCTGCCAAAGATTAGTGATCGTCGAATAAGTCAGCTGTTGCAACTTACTCTTGAACTTATCCAATCCAGTGGGCTTGCACTGAAGTGCCCTAGTGATTTGCTCGCGCACAACGGAGAAGACTTTAACGAAATCCTCCGTGGTAGCTCGCATCTCCTTCCATGTCTTATTCAGCAAAACTATGCACACGCAGTAGAATTCCTCGAAAGGATGATCGTGCGTAAAGAACATCGGATGATACGATTGGCCTTGTTCGCTGGGTGCTTCGCCAATACGCAACACCTAGAAAGATATACCCATCCATTTCAAGTATTTCATATTTTATTAAGAGAGACACCTGGTTTAGAGGGTCAAGGAAGTCAATTATTTTACATTTTCTTAAATAACTATTCATGAATATTTCCTGAAAATTTGAATGCAATTCCTTACAAATTCTCGAAGTTACAATGGTTCGAGCGATCTAGTTCCGAAGTCATTTTTATGAAGCATCCTTTTATGGATTCCAGGAATCACCGATTAAAAGAAACCTATTGTAAAAAAAAAAAAAAAAATTCCTAATTGAAAACTTTCAATGCGTTTTTCTCGTAATGTGATTTTTCAATTTTGCTAACAGTGTAAAAAGAAAATAGCTCGATAACTTGGGTTTCTGACATATAATTAATAGCAATGACTTTTTCCAAATAAAATTCATGAAAATCGTTGTTTTTGGCGCTCCAAACCAGGTAGTCCCCCTAACAAGTATGCAGTTTGCAGCGTTTGCCTCACCTCGCAAAGTAATTTAACAAGTTCTACGCTCGTCCTGCCAAAAGGACACTCGTGCTCGTCCGCTCGACACGAGTTCTCCAGAACGACTTTCGTATAGCCCTCCGTGTGATTACGCGCAAAGTATACCATACAGTCGAGCGCGAGCATACCCGGTGGTGTCTCGGTAAAGTCAAGAGCGGGATTAATGTCGAATTTGAATCCTAACTTTTTGTAATCCTTGGCAAACAATCCTTGTTTACGCGCGGTAATGTCTCCGCTAGTTGCACCCTCCGTGTCGAAAGCGATCCTTCGAAGTTCCTTGATTTTGTCGTGCGCGTCCTGATCCTGCGGGTCCATCTTCGTCATCATCCGTTGCTCCAGCAAACTCAACATCAACGTCTGCAGCACATACAACTGATGCGCCATTTCTGCGCCGACCTGTGAAAATTTGAATAAAAAAGCACACAATGTAGTTGTACTAATATCATCATAAATAATTATTACTGATAATTGACAATTATACCTGTCCAGTAGACTGTATGATGTTCGTCAAGAATACGTTTCTGACTTGTTTCGACTGCAACGTGGCGGCAACGGCACGCCTTTTGTACAGGTCAGCCTTCAAAAACAGGGCGTTTATAAGTGCCACCGTGTTCTGTTGAATTTGAGCATTCATGCACTGCAGGTACATCACAAGATTAGGAAAAGTCACTTCCTTCTCCACTTGTCCGTATTTCCCCGTCGAGTTCAGGACTATGTTTTCTAAAATACTTAGAGAAGCTTCTATTATACTGGTGTCCTGAGTTACCGATTGATTGTTCACATAACTCGCTACTTTATTGATGAATGGCGTTTCCAATATATCCCACGATACAATTCCATGGTCCATCAATTCCACAAACGACTGAAGGGAATATGCAAGTGCACTTCCTTTGTATTTTCCACCTTCCACCTGGAAATTTAATTTGCTATGTTATGTGAGAAATATCACTGATAACAATTTAATATCGTATCTTTGCGTAAAGTCTCATACTTGTGAAATGATTAATGCCAATCCTTTCTTGTTTATAAATTCTAAAGCAAATGTCATGTCTATGCTAAGCTTGCTAAGTTTTTGCAGAGCTACCACTTTCTCCTCCATTGCCCCGTTATTAAGCTTAGTCAATATATCATTCGCTGTTTTTGACGGTGAAAATTCCAATCTCAGAATACTGCCATTCTTCACTTCATTTCTGTTTTTCTCTGTGATATAATTCTGATTGTTACTATCTGAGAATTGCAACGAGTATGATTCTGCCTCGGACAAACCCCATCCATTGCACAACTCCTGAAATTAAGAAAATATATTAATTATCACAATACATCAAGTAACTCATTGTTCCTTTATTTCTAATAAAACTTGTATTGACACTGACACTGCGAGATTGCATGTATAAGCTTTATATGCGTTACTCTTATATGAATCACTAAAAAATATAAAAGAAACACGAATAAACTTAAACTTAACACTATTTCTTCTAGATTATGGATATCTCTTTTCTCGCGGAGAAACCTTGCGTACCTGAATAATCCCAGTCAGCGGTTGCTTCTGATTAAATTCAATGAGCTGAGGCACTTGCTCGGTCATCTGAACGGCGATTTTCACGATATTTGAATCCTTTTGGACCGGCATCTTGATCGTCTGCGTGTACATCAAGGGTGTGAGAACGATTCTCGTACGAGACTCGCGGCAACGATGTTCGGTGCACGCCGGTCCAGTTCACTCACGACGTTCACAAGATCGGGAGCTTTGATGCCTCTGTCATAATAATCTTGACGGCTACGCAGCTACAACGGTCACGTGATCGCTATAGGTTAGACTAGGCGAGTCCGCTTCCGTCTGTTGGCGGAAATGCACATGTGATATGATTGCGATACCGTGAGAAAATTTTACATTAACTTGTATAATGAATATAATTATTATTTTCCAAGAAAGGCTGGGATCAGTTATATATATACATGCTTTTTTTTGCGCGCAATACATGATTTTATTTTAATATAGATTGGATATAATTACAAACAGCACGTTTACAGTTAGATATACGATTGAATACTATAAAAATATATACGTATAACAATCTTCTATGTAAAGAATCAAATATTATGAGTTGTATTACGAACTTAAGTTTACGTAAGTCGTATTAACTATTAAGCTAATCGTGACTCTGAATTATTGATTTTTTTCTGCAATTTCTAGTTAATTTCTCCCCGTAAAAATGCACAATTGTCAAATGCATAATAATTTTTGAATTCTGTACAATTGAACATGAATATTAATTCCAAGATAAGTATTCAGTAGAAATGATTATTTTACTGGATTTTATTGATGTATAAAATAAGCTTAAAATCAATATGTAAAATGTCATTTCTTTTTAACAGGTATAGACTGATATAGATGTCATTATACCAGCTGAATAGGCAATATCGACTTGGATCATGTTAATACAACGATGCGCACGAGTAAGCACTCTTCAGAAAAGTTGACAACTTAAGAAACTTTGAACTGATACACATCCGACGTTAACGATATTAAGTCTCGCTGCGCTAGTTTCCATTGATTGTACAATAACTGAATTGATGATCGAATTATTAAAGATACAATCAAGAAATGCAATTTAAAACGCATGTATATTTTTTACCTCCTTTCAATAGATTTCTATTAATCGTGCAATTTTTATATGCAATTAAAAATATACTTTTGAAGGACCAACTTGTAGTTGCGAGTCCATTCTTGTACAGATAGGAAATTCATTTGGACTTAAAAATGCTTTGGAGTGCTAAAGGAAGACCACAATTGGTCCCTTTTTGCTTCTTATTCGTAACTATATTATGATCGTTAAGAAACTCTTCTATTTCTTCGCTATCGACTATTGAGACGTTTATAGAATGCTTTTTGGTAATGTCTTAAAGACATCTGATAAGATATCGTTAAGATATTATTATACGTATTGTGTGGGTAGCGTTGCAGCATATGATACACATGTTCGGATAATAATCTGCCCTTAATTACCAATGCTCGTGTTATCAGTTCCAGTCACGTTTCAATTTTTGTGCCGAGAATGTATTACGTCTATTAATTATACTCGCTATCATTTATACATCAATATCATTTATACATATTTTGAAAATCGAAACTTATAAAACGTTTGCATTGTCACAATGAATGGCGATAAGTTTACACACTAATTGCTTAACAATAATCATTATAACGTATTTCTCTTCCCTTGAAAATTAAAATTTCCAGTCCCATGGCACGCAGAGAACACCATCGCTCATAACTGAATAATAATGAGTAACCCAGAGCATAACGCCCTCCAGAGATGGTGCCAGGTCCTTCTTGTGCAAAAGTAATCGTTCGCAACATTGTATCATTAAGTCCGGCGTAATGCTATCGTCCTTATTGAGAGCAGCTAAACCTAGTTCCCTGATGGTCTTGCGATGAAGTTCCCGTTCTACGTGCTTTATGCTGAAATTGCATAATTATATAAGTAGTAATTTAGTCTACCTACATTACTCCATCTTCACAAACAATCATAAGTATACAAGATGCCCTATCATAAGAACACTTAAATATCTTAAAGGCCTAAATATGAGGACCATAAGAAAATTTTCCTTCCTTCGGTACTCCTCCTTCGAAACCATTCAAAAATAGTGCTCTAAGAATTTCTTGTATCGTTAAAAATAAAGAAAATATTTAGATGTTCTCTTTATGTTGTATTACCCTGTATATTTTTTTTTTTCATAGGAAACGTCTTACTTATTATAATGCTGTAATCTCTTTGTGGCTTCCTCTAAATTTTCAGTAACAAAATTCACTAAAAGGAAGCTTGGACACGATGATGGCACAATGAACTGCCCAGTCGGCGACAACATCAGAGGGCCCGCTTCACTGTAAGCAAATTGTCAGACACATTCACTTAGAGACGTCGCATACGCGAGATTCAAAAGCCACCTGCAAGCAACGATACAATGATACTAACGCTTCTATGACGATCTCGTAGGCCGATAAACTGGCCGGCCAAGAATTCGGGTATTTTCTCCTACCACGGTAATCCGAGAGCGTAGTCGTGAGCTGTCGGAGTTGTTGCTCATATTGGCCGACCATTACTTTAGGCATGAATTTCCTGCACATATAGAGTACCCTAAGCCTTACCATAACTCAAATAATATGATGTATTACGCACCGTCGACCGACTTTAATATCGAGGAGCACTTGGGACACTGCCTTCTCAAACGCTGGTAATTTCAACAACACAACGTCGTGCTTTCTTACGTTCTTTATTAGCTGCAGAAAAGAACGGACGGAAAAGTTCAATATGCAGGAGCGAAGTTCGCCAAGTCGTTACGAAGTGAACAATTCACAACTTACGTCGAGCCAATTGTGTCTGACTTCGCCGGAATTTAGCATAACGTTGCCCTCCAGACTGATGCCGGTGTCGTTTGCAAATACGAGGGTCCGATTCTTCAGCATCTCCATTGGTTCCGGATGGTGTTCGGCCAAAGCTTGGAAAGCCAGCAAACAGCCACGATAATGAGCGATGTTCCAGCCACAGTCCCATATGATATCCTTCAATCCCAAGTCATTGCATAGTACCTTTTGCAGTTTCTCCACCTCTTCTCTCATTGGTCTACATGCCTCCAGTTTAACGTGCACCTCGTTGATGTGCTTGTCCAAATATGCTCTGGTCATGTGATTATAGACACATAATAATGTTTTTCGATATCAAACTTACATCAGTAACATTGTACTCACTTCAATGTGTCTGGTTCTATATTAATCTTTTGTTTCATAATAATTGAGGCGTAAACAGGGTCATCCTCCAACTCAGAGAAGTCCAATCTCTCTCCAAAATGTGTATGTTGCCAGTATTTGGATTTGTACTTTGAAAGTGGAGGCTTTTGCTCCTGGATTTTGTCGATAAACGTGGTGGGTAGATCGCATGCTTTCAAGATAGACAGTATGGCTTGCCTCAGATCTCTTTCCTTCAGTTGTATCTTCACAAGCGTAAATTTACCGGCTCTCACTTCTTTCTCATCTTTCGAGCGCAAGTAAAAAGGCAAAATGGTCGGCCGTATGGGTTGCTTTTGTTGAAGTGTTTCTAAGATTGAGCTCAGTTGTTTCAAAGAGTTCTCATTTACTGTCTGTCATAAAGAGATTACGAATTAATAATGCATGCAATGTGTCTACATAAATAAAATAATCATCATGTTATTCACATCAACACAAATTACTTGAGTGCTAATAAAAATTTAATTAAATTATGCGAATATACAATATTATAAATATAAATATACAAAATTATAAATATAAATATACAATATACAGAAAGCATATTAATTTATTGCTTCAAGAATTTTTGCGGCAAATGACATTTCGTTTTCCATAATTCCATGATTTCCGTAATTAATTCGTCGTTTAGACGCCCGACGCGGAAGTGTCAAATTTCGAACTTGAGAGCATATGTGACACAGAATGTGCACGCGAGCTTTAAACCGATCCACGTGTTAATCACGTTCGCGCGCAGGGCCGCATGTCTTTACTCCATTCGTTTCCTTTATAGCGGATTCGAGCCATCGTGCATGCAATTATATTCTCCGCTGCACCGTAGCATTTCGCGCGGCCCTGCATAGGCGCAAACAACCATTTCAGTGACAAACAGTGTGAACAGACATCTGACGCGAAAGTGGTAGCAATGAAAATTTATTCTTATTCGAGTAGCCATGCGCACCTACACACACGCCGTTTGTGCGAATATCACGCGGTTTCGACGCAATCGTTTTTCTCATATCTAAAAATAATTTTGTACGTGTCGTTTCGGTTGCGATGTTAACTGTTAGTCACTTTGCTCCGTGCGTGATTGTCCCGCGCGCACTATCTACACCTTACACACTCGATAAAAGATAAAACAAGCGAAGCGAGGCTGCACTTTAAATATCTCTTAAAAAAAAATAAAATAAAACAAAGGGAGTGACTCACATGTGAACAAAGCAAACAGCACTGTCAGAAGACAGTAAGCTACAATGCGATCAAAAACAATAGATTCGCTCCTTCTTTTTCGTTCTCATCTTCGTATCTTCGAACCTTGTACGACAGAAAAGAGGGAAAGATTCCTTTACTCGAGCGAACGATACAAAAAGCGATAATATCTTAAATTTCTAAGAAGCAAAATCTTAAATTTCAAATAGAAAACGAGGCAGCCCGTCATATTGACAATATCTATTTAAAACGTCAGCACATGTGATTTAAAATAGCAACGCATCTGTCGTTGCCGAAGCAAACGTATACTTACTCTCTGCGTAGGATATTGGCCGAACAGATCGGGATGAACGGTGAAATAAAACGGCCTCAGCGCGGTGGAGACCTCGCCGGTACTTAGAGCTCTTACCGCGTCCCTCCTGCAAAAACTGTCAGAGAGAAAGAGAGAGAGAGCTGTCAGGAAGGGTTGCGATCGTCAAAACGAGAAGAGGATTGAAAAGACACTGGGGGATAACAAGAAGCACAACAAAGAGGAGGAGTTACCATCTTCCGAGCGAACAATACATCCTCACGGCTGTGTCACCGTCGTGGTCACAATTTCCATTTTATGCAGCAACGGGGTCGTCTCGCGTCGCCTCGCGTTATGTATCATTCGACTGCGATGATGCACCGTGACGTGCCGCTGAACACACAGCGCGAAAACAATGCACACACTGTGTTGCTAACTCCGGCTGACTGGCTTTACGCGTATGCGCTCGTCGCGAGAATAGCGCACTCGACGGCGATTCGAAGCAACCGTTCCGCGCGGTTACTCAACCGTAGGGTTGATAAGTCAGGTTGATATGACAGTAGAACAGGCGGTCCGTTCTTTTTAGTTGAACTGGCTGTATATTCACAAAACTCACACTCACTGAAGCGTGAGAATTTCGTACGTTCAACTGGTTTGTTTTTTTTAGCTAAACTGGTTGCACTAGTTTAAGAAATTTACATATGCGTTGAAACGTACGTATGAGATTCTTGTGCTTCAAGGAGAATTCATACCTCGACAGAAAAGCAGAGAGTAGGAAAGCAGCAGCCAATCAGGACTCGCGCTGGTAATAAATAATGGATAAAGCAGAAACTGTCGACTATCAGCGCGAGTTCTGATTGGCTGTTACTTTACTGTTTTCTGCTTTCCTCTCGGGGTGTGAATTCTTCCTCAGTGTGCGTGATTTTCTTGAATTAGTGCAGCCACTTCAGCTAAAAAGAACAGCCCGATAGTAATAGTGCTTTCGTTGTGAAACGCCGTCGGCGCCACCGAATAATTAGCGCTGATTGGTTGTCGAGATTTCGAATCCTTTTGGCTGTACTACACTGCTCTTTTTGTATATTTTCGGTCGAGGTGTGCTTTGGATTGTTACGTAAAAATAAATGTGAATAACAGCACAAATTAAAATTTACATTTGAGAAAAGTGACCGCACGCATATTAAAGTTTTTATCTCTTACGTCTTTCTGTAACAATTTGAATTGGCTGCAGATTTCTGATTGGCTGAACGGTCATTATTTGGACGAATAAATACGCATCGTTGCGTCATATCTTATATTCTAAACTCATGATCGTTGTTGATCGTGCTATTTCGTCAGACGTTGCTCCGGATCTCGTTGAATCGCGAGTAAATCCAAGTAAATTATGGCATCGATTGTTATACCGACAGCTTTGCGATTTAGTCGTATGACGATTGATAGTTTATATCAAATAAATAAATGTGGCCTAAACAAGTAAGCTATTATTTTTTATCGGTAGAAATGACAATGAACGCGCATTTCGAAACTGCATGTGACTCCGTTGAGGTTAATCGTTAGATAGTCATAAATATATTTTTTTGTTTCATCATAAAAAATACAATTCATGAATTAATATTAAAAATGATTTAATAATTTTCTTAGAATGTAAAAATTCTAGTTAGACTTAAGTATTTGTATAATTAGTCATAGTAAAAAAGCAAGATTCAAGAATTTGTCAATTAGACTGTGATTTGACAATACAACAAAATGATAAAAATGTATTAAAAGCGTCCATTTTTTTTCTCTCTAGTAGTGTATCTATAATTTCAATAGATATTAAGTTTTAATATTTATTCAAATGCTTTTAAACAGATGAAATGTAGAAAAAAACTGATTTAATATATAAAATATACATATATATATATGTAAAAATATATATTTTATCTATTTTTATATTTATATATCTTATCTTTTTTTTTTTTTAAGTTGGTAGAGTTGAAAAATATAATGGGTAAACAATTTTTTATGACATGACTAAATTATCAGACGTTTTATTCTATTATCCATGTTGCATTATAGATCGCCACGAGTATCCTCTGTTTTTCCTTGGAGAAGACAACATTATAGTACAATAACAGAAGAGAAAAAGCCAGATGCCGGAGAATCTCCAGTGCAAGAATCTATAGAAATTGAAAAGAAGCTGAAAACAGAAATAGAATTTATCAACAAGGAACTTACTGAACTTAAAGAATTTAAAGATACACTGGAGGATAAGTATAAGAGAGCATTGGCTGAAGGAGAAAACATCAGAGTTAGACTTACTAAACAGATCAACGATGCCAAACTATTTGGAATCCAAGGTTTCTGTAAAGATCTTTTAGATGTAGCTGATGTACTAGGAAAAGCTACCGAAAGTGTACCAAAGGATGAAATAACAGAGAAGAATCCACATTTGAAAAGTTTATATGAAGGGTTAATAATGACAGAAGCACAATTGCATAAAGTAAGATATATGCTTACTTCTTTTTGATACCAAAGGTACATATGATTGCGTTCATAAACACACAGCGCACACTAGTGCAACTGTTTGGAAAACTGGCTCAGGCTGTGTCCGAAAATATCATTTTTTGGTGTGCTTTTGCGACTTCATTAATTGAAGTCACGAGAACACACCAAAGAGTGATGTTTCAAAACAGTTGGTATCTGATAATGTGCATACTATCTATTTCTGAATGCAATTAATATAATCAATGAGATATAATAATATTAAATTTTCTTCGTAATATTTTAGGTTTTTAAGAAGCATGGCTTGATTTCATTAAATCCAATTAATGAAAAATTTGATCCTAATCAACATGAAGCACTATTTCAACAAGTAAGATTTATATTTTAGATAGAATACATCATCAATTATCTACATAATAATTGTTACTGTCAATATAAAATTTAATTTTTTTTATTTCAGGAGGTTGAAGGTAAGGATGCTGGGACAATTGTAGTTGTATCAAAAATAGGATACAAATTACATGAAAGGGTAGTAAGACCAGCATTGGTAGGTGTTGCTAAAGGATAAACTACCTAATACAAAAGTAAATAAAATATCTGATGTAAATTGTTAAATATAAGATCTAATATAGAGCAATGACGTATAAAATATGATTTTCCTTTAAATTCATTCATAAAGAAACATTTACTTTCATTTTATGGAAGTATAAAGTATGTAAGGGTTAGCATAAATAATGTATATACGTATTTTTATGTAAACTTTTTGTGTTTTTATGTTTGTATTGAAATACTTTTTCACATAGTTGACTTCTGACATGGATACAAATTTAATGAAAACCGATATACAAATATTAAGTTGTATAATCGTATAATTTATATAATGTTAAATATACACTGGTATTATATATACTCACATAACAGTGAATTTAAATTAGATCAGTTAATAGCATACATGATAAATTATCATAATATATTTTTGTACTTTTGGGATGGTATATTTTAACATCTTTCAAATACTTTATACAAATCAGGTAAACTGGCTATTTGTAATATTGTCGAATCGTGAGCGAAGTGTTTAGGAGGAAGTAGACTCTCTTTAATTGCAGGGTACAAGACATGTTCGGTTATATATTTCCAATCGTGCGTCTCGTCTTTGGGATTGATACAGCTGTAAAATTTTGCCGTTTCTCTACAAATATTTTGGAAGCACGGTTGTTCCTTTTTCCAATTAACTTCCGTTGCTAGTCGCATTATATATAATGGAATTTCTGCTTCATACGGAAAGTATTTATCTAAAATGTTGTAGCAACATTGTGAATATATATGTATATATAGTTTTCTTGGAAATCAGAACATGTATCCATCTAACAAATTGGATTATACTTACCTAGTAATATAGGCAACGATCTTAAGTTTCCAACTTTATCGGTAACGATCGAAAAATATTCATTCAACATATCTGCTTTTTCTAAAAGCAATTCTTTTACACTTTTTGCTAATTCTTCTTTTGGTCCATCTTCCTCCGACCATCCAGTGTCCCCTGAATCTAAAGCAATCATTGCTAGTTCAAACAATGATATCCGTTGCTTAAAAAAAAAAAAATGCATTTCAATATTAGTTAATAATAGAAGTGTTTTTTTTATGATTTTTTTAGATACGTACTGAAAACTTAAAAATGCCAAAATTCGCAAAGTCATAAAGCATAATTTCATAGAACAATTCTTCCCTAAAAAAAATATATTTAAAAAAATTAGTCATATATGATAGATTTATATGAATATATAATTTTATAGATTAAAATGCGAAATAATTTAATCTTACGCTAATTTCTTGGTATTGCAAATATACAAATTTACTCCACTCTGTATTAAAGCTGAAGTTTGATTAATGCATCCAACAAATGTTAAATTAGACAGGATTTCTCTCAGTCCCTCATGACATTCATCTTCAATTTCTTTTCGTAATTGCAAGATACTGGTTAATTTTACGTCGTGTCTAAAACTATTTATAGAATATGACTTAAATAGCCTTTCAGACTTCTCAGATTCATCAATATTATTGGAGATGCTCTCAGTTGGAGATGTATCTTGTGGCTGATTTACTCTAAATGCTGAACATTCACCTTCTTCTTTATTATCTGTATTTTCCGTAATTCTCTTCTCTTGTTCTTCTAAATTTTTCTTTCTGTCATTGGTATCTAAATTTCCAAAATACCGATATACTTGTTTACGAGCCTTATCGGCTATAGTGTCTACAGCTACATCATCTACAGAATTATTCGTTGTTTCATTTAAATCGGATAGAATTTCTGAAATATCCATAGCGTCCTCTGGACAAGTATTTTTCGATTCAATATTCTGTATAGTGGCACTCGGGTTGCAAGTATTTTGCGTTTCTGATTGAGTTATATTATCTATTATATCACACCAATTTGTTGTAGTTTGATTAAGTGGAGTCTTTTCAATATCTAAGGATGCAGAATTCTGTTCTGTAAAAGTCGAGTTTGAATTCGGCTCATCCTTTTTCTTTTGACACTTCTCATCGGCAAATAAATTTTCCTTCATAATGTTAGGTATATTAGTTTTTGGCGGAACTTCCGAATTAAGAGGTTGAAGTTCTAAATTATGTATTGATTTTTCTATGACAGAATCGTCACTTTTGCCATGTTTGAAGGCAGAATGTATGGTGAAATTAAATTTATCTAGCTTTTGGTCTGACGAATCTGTCCTAATCAGCTCTCTAGCATAAACTTTTTTCGATTTATCTGGATTTCCTTTGTTATATTCTGGTAATACTTCTTTTAGAACGTCTTTCGTGATGTCTGCTTTTGGTAATCTGGCTTGCAAATAAAATGTTTTGGATGCACTGCTACCGGTTAGTCTTTCGTCTAGAGCCAATTTGATCCTTTCGATTATCGCATCTTCATGAAGGAATCGGACTTCGTGTTTCGTTGGATGTACATTAACATCAATGTTCTGTGAATTGATTTCCAGAGATATATAACACCACGGATAGGCTTTTTTCGGGAGATAGACGGTATATACTTCTTCTAACATTTTACGGATAGCTAAAACAAACAAACATATATATAATTTTACACAAAAATAAATTAGAGTGAAATTGTCAGTATATATAACAAGAGACCTACAAGAAGAATCAACCAGACGATTATTAATAAATAGAAGCATCACCATCCGTTTGTTTGTGTGGTTTGGATTTGTTACTAAAGCATGCATTTTAAATCTATAAGTCTCATCGTTGAGCTCAATCTCCAATAATTCACGAGCAACTGGATTGCCATACAATATTCTTATGTTACTTTGCTTTGTTGAATTATGTGGTGTCCGAACCTGGATACATGTAAAATAATAATTATGTTATTCCAAAATATTCTACTTAGATGTCAAACGATGTATTTATCACTGTACATATAATTCATCTTACCTGTGGACTTGTCTCACCAAATTTCTTTAATGTAAATCCTACTGTTGGATTATGTACAGCATATCTCATTACTACTTCCGTAATCTTAGTGAATTCCTCTGATGAACTTGACAAAGCTTTCCTTCGAGTTGCTACATTATAAAACAAATTCTCTATTTTTATTATAGTACCTTGATTTCCAGCACATGGTGCTGGAGGTGCCTTTAACTTGCTGTTAAGATATGTTGCCCTGTAACATCGGGAACAAATACAATTTATCTATCAACAGTCAAAATCTATATGAAAAATAATGACAACATTTATAGCTGTCTTCCATATAGCATATTATTTACTAATTGAATTTACATACATATAAGCACACTTTTCATCTGCCGTCCTTGTTATAATACTGAGAAGAGCTACATGACTGATACTAGCTAGAGCTTCTCCTCGGAATCCAAATGTTGTCAGTGTACCAAGATCTTCAAACTTTTGCAATTTGCTTGTTGTAAATCTTTCACATACAATTTCCATGTCCTCTTTACGAATACCAGTCCCATTATCTTGTATCTGAAATTTATTTAGAATTACAAATGATTATTTTTAATAACTAGAGATATATTAGGTTAAAACATACCTGTAATAATTTTAAACCTCCTTCTTTTGCAGTAATTTGTATATTTGTGGCTTTGGCATCCAGACTAAAAGACATGAGTGGATTAAATATTTTAGGAATTTATATTACATTGACGACAGTACGATCTGTTTTCTAAATACTAACCTATTTTCTATTAATTCTTTCAATGCATTTGCTGGCCTTTGGATTACCTCTCCAGCTGCGATTCTATTCACCACAACTTCATCTAATTTTCTTATTTTTGCTGCTGTACACATATTGTGTGGAAGTCACTTTTGTAAATAATTGTTTTAAGAAAGAGAACCAGGATATATCTTGCCACTTGTTATTAGCATGTCACGACAGATGAATTCATGTAACTTGATTTCACACAATTCAGCAAAGTAATTTGACACATAAATTAATAATCTAATCAAGAAGTATAACTGTATAAAAAAAGTCTTATATTGAGTAAATTTATCGAGATTATATTCTTCGAGTTTAATATGTTACTTGTTGGCGCCAATATCTAAATAGCAGTGTCGTCAACATGCAAAAACAAATCATTTCTTACCGACGAATCGTCACTGTTTTATCTCCATGCATTATGAACATTCAACTTACAAGCGTTTTGTATAGATGGCAATGAACTAAAAATTAGATGTATTATGTATCGCAACGACCATTTTTGCCGTGCATTCAGTAACGTTGTTGCTTAAATTAGAATCGCTCGAAATATCTTACAACGATCTCGAAATAGATAGATTATATAGTTTCGCAATTACAGTTTCGCAATCCGTAACGAACAATTCCATCTTGACCTGTTAAATGTTTCGAAATTCGGCATACTTTGTCCGATATGTAAATTTCATTCTTTGATTCAAAGATATCGTATTAATCACCATAAGTAACCTAAAAACTTTCTTGTAGCAGCAATAGGAAGAATGATGAAAACATAATGGGTTAATTAGCTGCTGGGTGAGTTAATAATAATTGAATCTTCATTTACATACACACACACACATATTTTTTTATTCAACTACCATCACGAAGCGAATTACTCATCGCCAAAATAAGTGACTGGGATAGCGAAGGGAATTTGTTTCTGAATCGGTTGAACTTCTGAGTCACGATCTTCGATCATCTCTATTTTAAGCTCTATTAATTTTTTCCCATTTAGAGCTATGTACTTGTGACTCACTTGGAACGAGAAAAATCGCGAAAATGCAATTAATGCCAGTACGTTATTCTAGAAAATTTGCGAAACTTCGAGACATCGTCGCGCGTTTTCTAGAACTCCGGAGATTCTTTTCGTTTCTGCGCAAGCGCAATCGGTCCGGCTTGAACTGCGCGTTCCTCCGTACTCTTACCAGTTCTAACAAGTGCACGAATAATTGCATCACGCATAAATCTAATCAATGCATTTATATTGAATGAATTTCTTTGCTTCGTTGGTGTACTACATTATCTCGTCGAAACGAAACGTGATTCGCGCATGCCTAATTATAGTCGCAGTTCGTTCAGCGTATAACGCGTTCTCGAATTTTCGGGAACGTTCGTGTCCACCTCTCTCTCTCTCTCTCTCTGTGTCCTTTTCTACTTCGTGTGTCGCTCGATGTATTCGTGTATCCTCCTTCTCTCTCCTGTGCGTCCACCAATGGGAACTCTGATAAGCTTCTCCTATTGGTCATCCGCGGAAGTTTCTCGAAGCGCGCGAATCGGTATTAAAAGCGCGGCACGAAGTGTCGTTCTCAGTCTCATAAAGAATTACGAACGTGCAGTGTGCATACGCAGCGGTAACTCGCGAATACAATCTTTGAAGTATAGAATTGAACGCTAGGTGAGTGTTAATTGTCTCATATTCGCGTGGTCATCTCCGATCAGAGATTTTGCTGTGAAATAATAGTGTATCGTAGCGACTTGCTCATTTTCTGGAAAGTGGTTGCGTCACATCGATCGCTTACATCTTGTCGATTTTACGGATGGTGAATTTTTCGTTGCTTTGATGTTGTCAAAGGGTTTCTTTACTTTAACAAAGTTAATTCCTATAATAAATTGTTGTGCACGAGTTGTTACGCGAATGCTCAATGAATAAACAATAATACAGTAATATTTAACAGTAAAGATAGTGTTTGGGTTGAACTTATAAGTGTCAAAAATTACAGATTCCGTGTATTCACCATATTTTTTTCGGGACAATCGAATATCATTATTTATTTATAGAAGGATTCCCTTTGGTGTATCGATTACAAATAAAAATTCAATACATAATTTTTGAGAGTAAAAAGAAGGAAAATATACAAAAATTTACATTAAAAAGATAAATTTAAAAAGATAAATTTAAAAAAATAAATAATTTTTTATAATAGTCTTGTATAAAAAAAATGTGAAATATTTTTAATGTCATGTGTCTATAGAGATGTATCTATAATTAGTATCAGAGGAAGGGTTCAGCATGAGTCAACTTTTTGTGAAACCTAACGACATGTTTATTGCGTCGCATTATTTCGAGCGTGGAACACGCGACAAATCGAGTAGCTTTCGAGGTCGATCGAAACTGCATGATACGTCGTTCGGGAAACCGCGGCTCAACAACATTGTTGCTCGGTCGCGACAAGTACATGCATCTTACATTGCATTATCGTTGGTTTTCAGTGTCTGGTTACACCGAAGTTGCTGAGAGAACAAGGATATCACAATGTCGAAAGCGCCAGCAGTAGGAATCGACTTGGGCACCACGTATTCCTGCGTGGGTGTTTTCCAGCATGGCAAAGTTGAGATCATCGCCAACGATCAAGGCAATCGGACCACACCAAGCTACGTTGCATTCACGGACACCGAAAGGCTGATCGGCGATGCAGCGAAGAATCAGGTTGCTATGAATCCCAGCAACACCATCTTTGGTGAGTGAAGTTTTCATGCTTACAATGTGATTTTTCATTATATTAGATGAAGAAAGATGAAAGAAAGAATTAAACGTTTTTATATATTTGATATTATTTTGCAATTATTTAGAGTTATTTCCAAATTATTGGATAAATGGATAATTATATTTTTATTATCGTTGATTCTATTGCACATATCAATTAAAATCGTTAAATTATATATTGTATTTTTAAATATAAACTTTTACACGTTAAATTAGATGTCAAACTGTATTTATATAATTGCAAAATATGCATGTAACATATTTTGCGACTGAAAACTATATTTTTTTTATTAAAAAGCTTCAAACTTTATACTTTTTTTATATTTAAAATAGAACGGCCATTGAACAATATATTCAAAATTGAAATATTGGACGCAAAATAACATTTAAATTGAACCTGTCATTTTTCTATGTTTTGTGGCTGAACTTGAAACTATATTGTACTCTGTGCAGCTTGATTGCGTTTTACTGCATCAGTGACCTTGCACAATGCGCATGCGTCTGTATAGTACTCATTCATGGACTGTGCATTCCTATTTCTCTCCCCTCGGTCCTCCTTGAGCGCCCACCATAATTCTTCACATTGTAGCCGAGCGTTCTGCCGTTTACACGTCGCAATTTTACGTAATTCTAATTTGCACCAACGCCAAACGGTGTTGCCGATTCACGTTGGCCTGAAATCAAATGACGCAAGTGATATCCTTCGCTATAAATGCTGCACACTTATTTAATATTTATTACATAATAAAAACCAATATACAAATGCGAGTATTACGTTTATCACATTCAGTGACAACAACATTTTGATCTTCTAAATTTATTTTGCATTTATTTTTGCAATTATTGAAATTTATGGTAAGTAAATTACTTAACAATCTTAAATAGAAAAAATATACAATTTTTTTTTATAAAACTGTATCAAGGATATTGTCAAGTATTGAATATTTCTACTTCGCGACTTGGTTACTCGGCGATTCAAAACATATTGCTGCCATCCTACTCACAATCCGATCCATCATCCTAAAGGACCCTCTTCTTCGTTCACCTGCACGATACGTCTTAGAACATAGACTTGGAAGCAGTCTCTAACTTTTGGTAATTCTTATTCCTTGAAGATGCAAAGCGTTTGATCGGCCGCCGATTCGAGGATGCGACGGTACAGAGCGATATGAAGCATTGGCCTTTCACAGTGGTCAATCAGGGCGGCAAACCTAAGATCAAGGTTTCTTACAAGGGTGAGACAAAGACCTTCTTCCCCGAGGAAGTGTCCTCCATGGTATTGACGAAGATGAAGGAAACGGCGGAGGCATATCTGGGCCAAACTGTAACGAACGCCGTTATTACTGTACCGGCTTACTTCAATGACTCGCAGAGGCAAGCGACAAAGGACGCCGGCGCTATCGCTGGTCTGAACGTTCTCAGGATAATAAACGAGCCCACGGCGGCTGCGATAGCGTACGGTCTCGATAAGAAAGCTTTGGGCGAGAAGAATGTGCTGATCTTCGATCTGGGTGGCGGTACCTTCGACGTGTCGATCTTGACGATCGAGGACGGCATCTTCGAGGTGAAATCCACAGCCGGCGACACTCATCTTGGTGGCGAGGACTTCGACAATCGAATGGTCAACCATTTCGTTCAGGAGTTCAAGAGGAAGTACAAGAAGGATCTGGGTACCAACAAGAGGGCTCTGAGACGTCTGAGGACCGCTTGCGAGAGAGCGAAGAGAACGTTGAGCTCATCGACACAAGCGAGCATTGAGATTGACTCGCTATTCGAGGGCATCGACTTCTACACGTCGATCACCAGGGCCAGGTTCGAGGAACTCTGCGCCGATCTGTTCAGGAGCACTCTTGAGCCCGTGGAGAAGGCATTGAGGGACGCGAAGATGGACAAGGCTCAGGTTCACAGCATAGTCCTAGTCGGTGGGTCCACGAGGATACCAAAGATTCAGAAGCTGCTACAAGACTTCTTCAACGGCAAGGAGTTGAACAAGTCTATCAATCCGGATGAGGCCGTCGCTTACGGCGCAGCGGTTCAAGCGGCCATCCTGCACGGCGACAAGTCCGAGGAAGTGCAAGATCTGCTTCTATTGGACGTGACTCCATTGTCACTGGGTATCGAGACCGCTGGCGGTGTCATGACCACTTTGATCAAGAGGAATACCACGATACCTACGAAGCAGACTCAAACATTTACTACGTACTCGGACAATCAACCGGGAGTACTTATTCAAGTTTATGAAGGAGAGAGAGCGATGACTAAAGATAATAACATTCTTGGCAAATTCGAACTTACGGGAATTCCACCTGGGCCCAGAGGCGTACCACAGATTGAAGTTACCTTCGATATCGATGCCAATGGTATGTGTTCAACATATTTTGCATAATAATATATTATTTATTTCATATATATATATATAAGTATACATTCGTTTTTTTAATTGAGAATTTCATTTGTCAATGTTTTCTATAATTTATCCCCCTGTAATTCGTTTTTTAGGCATTTTGAACGTTTCTGCTGTTGAGAAGTCTACGGGTAAGGAAAATAAGATTACGATCACCAATGACAAGGGTCGTTTATCGAAGGAGGATATCGAAAGGATGGTGAACGAGGCCGAAAAGTATCGATCTGAGGACGAACAGCAGAGAGAAAGAATCTCCGCTAAAAACTCTCTCGAGTCGTACTGTTTCAACATGAAGAGCACGATGGAGGACGAGAAAGTTAAGGACAAGATCGACGCGTCCGATAAGGAGAAAGTTATTTCCAAGTGCAACGAAGTCATCTCGTGGTTGGACGCCAATCAATTAGCGGAGAAGGAAGAGTTCCTCGACAAGCAGAAGGAACTGGAGGCTATTTGCAGCCCTATCGTCACAAAGCTTTATCAAGGAGCACCTGGCGCTGGTGGAGCAGGACCCAATCCTGGTGCCGGTGGTGCTGGACCAACTATCGAAGAAGTCGATTAAATCGGCTAATTCGTTCTTCCTCTCGCACAGCTTGGACAACGCCAAATATCGTTTTTACTTTACACTGGCCGCATTGTTACTTGATTTTTACATATTTATTTTCATTTATTTCACGTAAAAACATCGTGTTTTATTATTTTCTGAAATCCATCCATATGTTATTAATGTTATCATTATATTATTATTTTTGTTATATTATTAGTTTTTGTTATAATAAATATTTATAATTACATAATTGATGTTGTTCGATTTAACTGTTGCTTCGTTTGTGAGAATTTTTCTTCACGTTTTTTTTACTGAATTATATTTCACTTCAGATTTTCTGGTCGATAAAATTGAACGAGGATTATTAAGTATGTAGTGATCACACCGACGAACTGAAAAGAAATTTACTTTACCAGATTGCTATAATTATCCTACAAATAAATAATTATATACTCACACCACTGAGTAAAGCATTGTTCATTTCGAAAAAGTCGCAGGCGGTAAATGCCACTCGATGCTGTTGCAGTTGAATCGAAAAATCGTTGATCTCGTTTCTCACGCAGTCTCGGTCCAAGTTTTTGCGCAGGAGGCTCTCCATGACCATGTAGTTTAGATTGTAAGCGTTATTCTGATTAGAATTTCGTTCGCTATCCTGCCTTTCCAGTGATCGTGGCACTTCTACATTCGGTTGATTGCAGCTTATGCTGTTTGTTTTTTTGAGACTCGTAGGTCTGCAATTCAGTATGATTGCGTACATAATTAATCCAGTTCTGTAGGATTCTTGGGATGCGAGTGTAGAGATCCAACACATCATGCCGAACTTCGCGGCGTATAAGATCCAAAGGATATTATTTATTAACATGAATCCGTAGTTTTTCTCGACAACACTCATGTAGACCCTAAATAACGTGGCTACGACCATGGTAAAGCAGTTTGCTGAGCAAAGGAGAAGGTGAAAACCGTGAATCTCGTTTATCATGACAACCAGATTACAAATTCCTGCGTAATAAGAAAAGACAAATTTGCAATTGAAAAGCTTACCTAATACTTACTGATATAATTATTATAAATAAACAATATAATTATACAATTGTTAAATTTATATTTAGATTGACTACTTTCATAAATTATATAAATATACAAATTACATTTTTAATTTTATATTAATGATACTACATATATATACATGGAATAAATGCTGTTAAATTAATCAAATTTCCAACAGCAGCGCAATTGGAGTAAATTTCCTCGACTCAATAGCAAATATCATTAAAGCTATATTTTGTATTGTTTCCATAATTGAAGTATTAGTTTCAATAATATCGCTATTAAATCAAGAAAATGTATTCGCGTGCTGTTAGAAATTCTATTGATTCGACAACATTTTTTCCTGTGTATTATTGAATTGAACCATCAAATGATGAAATGATACTTATACACCATATACAATCGATTGAAAATATTTTATGTAAAATGCTTACCAGTGTGCAATTCTCTAATACGCCTGATCTTGATCGCGACCCACGATATATCCAGTCGTTCGTTCAACTGCTCGATCAGCTCGTTTATTGTGCGAAATCTGTGGTAGAGCACGTAGACGATAACGTCGAAGACGAAGCTGTTGATCAACGACTGAGCGATCGTATAGTAGAGCAGCAAATCGGACGCGAAGATATCTTCAGGAAGTGTGAAGTAATAATATAGACCGTGTATAATCATGGACAAAGGACCGAAAGTTAATGTTGCGAGAATAGCCAGCACCTCGGCTTTTCTTATAGGTCGATCGTTTATGAGCATCTCTCTTCTGATTTTCTGATCGAGGATCTTTATTTTGCTCATCAGCTCTGACCACTTGTCGTAGTGGCGGATGCCGTGATAGACGTAGTAATACGCCGACACGTAGCACACTACTTTGTTCATGTAATACATGATCTTGAATATGTCGCTCTTGAAGACACCACTGAAAGTGAAGAAATCTATCGCGCCGTACGCGACGATCACCGAACAGATTCCGAAGTGAATGACACGTAGAACTATTGTAACAGCTTTGGGACACTTTCGCGGTCGTGCGACACCGACGCCCAAAAACCAGGAAGCGTACGTTATTGGGCGTAAGACGTGCTCGATCGAGGGAGAATTATCTTCCACTTGTACGTTAATTTCTTCTTCCATTTTCTCTTCAACTTTCCTTACTATTAATCGATATCGAGTTAGTATGGTTGCGAATAGTTAAGTTCGGACCACATCTGTGGTAGAAGTATTTCCAGCGGCGAAGCGTTGAGGCTTTTCTGAAAGCAACGCAGGACTCTGACGGGTATAGTTCGTTCTCTCTGGCGATTCTAGGTATGAAAGTAAAGAACGTGATGTATTGCTAGTGCAAAATTAACGAAGCTCGCACTGCTCGCTGTTAGCTGCTCCTCGTAACGCGGTTTTAGTAAATTAAATCGATCTAAGCGGGCAGAGAGAGAGAGAGAAACAACTTCCGCGTTTAATAATGCACCAAGTTTTGTATAATGGAAACGATAGCTTCTCGTAATTCTTTTCCTCCGAGCGACATAATATCTAGGCTACAATTAATATAGCAAATGTATGTATAAAGCATATTAATAAAGTAAAATCAGTAATAAAGTTACAACATTTTAAATCTCACAGCCAACATATTTATAAAATATTCATTTCTTGGTTAAATTTGTGATTTCTGCAATGATTTGTTGCACTTCACCTTCTTCGACGAATGTGTCATAAAAATAATTTTGTTATGATTCATTTATTAATTTTGACTTATGAATTATTGAGTCTCAAGAACCGGTGTTTTGTTACATGAATTAAAATTAACTTTTTCACCGTTAACACGTAAGATATAACAAGAAAGAATGACGTTTACACGTCTGTGTACACTTATATCGAAAAACGAGCTTTATTTGGCCCAACGACTATATTACAATCGTATGGTACAGTAAACATTTAAAATCGGGGTAAAACGATAACGTTGTACATCGACTTTTTATAAATCAGGCGGCAAGTCGAGTTGAGTATTTCGGAGAGATGAGGGTTGTACATGTATGTACGTATGTATGTGTTTGTTTGTGCATGCTGTTTGTTTGTTTGTCTGTCTGTTTGTTTGTGTGTGTGTGTGTGAGATAACTCTTATATTTTTCTTTTTATCTCCTTAATAATAATAGACCGATCGACTATGATCGAGCCTAATAAAACCAGGTGCGATCGTTGCCGAACACGTACGCATGAATATTTTACATCTGTGTCAAGTATACGTGGATCTGCATGTAAGTACGTATGTCTATGCAGCCCGTTCACGCTATTTGCAGCTTTCGTAAGTGTAAGAACATCTTGGAGTTTAATGCTCGTCGTCCTTTTTTCATTTTTCTAATTATTTACTCGGGAAAGGCAGCGTAAATTATTCGAACACGAGAATGTCGATATACGTCATTTTGTTATAATAATACGATATATTTCCTTTTACCTTCTCTTTTATTCTCTGATATCTCATTCTTTCGATCATAAATTACGAATTTATGATCGCACCATGTGATTAATGTTCTTAACGACTTGTGTTGCTACGTTTTACACTTGCGAATCTAGCTTGAGACCGCGGATTACATTTTGAAGGCTCGTGACGCAATTCCAAAACGCGATGATTAATGTTTTAAACGCGTGTCTGTGGAAAATAACGTTCACGTAATAGAGAAACTCTTGCAACTTTATCGGGTCATTTTTTTTCCATTTTCTTCATACGACAAGATATCTTGATAATGAAATCCTCTTATCTCTTACCTTGAAGCCAAGAACACAATGCATATTACGCAGATTATACAGTATTATGAGTTAAACAATTCAATTCAGCATTTAAGCAACGATTTAAAAAAAAACAAGATTTATATAAATAATCGAATTTTGAATTTTTTTTGTCTATAATAATAATCGATAGTGTATAGTGCTATAAGCAAAAAAGAGTAATTAATAATGGATTCATTTCAACAAATGCATTATGATATATCTACCACATATTCATCTCGCTGTTAGTTGTCTAAAGATACAAACGAAGCCTATGCATATCGCGTCGTGCGCGTGTGTATTCATATTTGATGTATAAGTCACTCTTTTTGGTCGTATCTAAAAACGAGTCAACGGAAAGTTTCATATTGGGAGGTAAAAGCCTTCGCCCGATATTGTATGTGCTGTTCCACTCATAGGAAAACGAGATAACTAGACTGCAATAGCAGCAGTGAAGTGTGTGACTTATAGTTCTTACAATCACATTATCCATTTGCCTGACAGGAAATTACCGTACGATTTTTATCTCTTATATATGGGCAGAAATATGTTTAGCCTCGATGTGAGATCGAGATTGTCCTCTTGAAAACTTCTCTGTTAAATCATGATCTTTTAGTGGGAAGAAAAGTTTAATACGTCGACTTAGTAACGACTTAAGATATAATTCGACTTCGTTCGATCGAAACCGAATAGAATAGCGCTTTATGACTTGTTGATATGCAGCCATATTTCAACGAACAGTTTCGCGAGTTTGCATGTGATTTGATTTAATTAAATGATCATACGATGATTACATGCAAATCATTGAACAGATATGACACTGAAATTATCTGTAGTTCGATCGAACCTTTTACATAATTGTAATTTTTCTCAGTATGCTTGAATAAACGTTTTTGTACTTCGAATCGGGTATGACTATATTTTCATATCGTGATGGAATTGTATGAAGTTTTAGAGGATTTGTCTTTTTCTTTAATGTTTTTTTAGGCGAATCAATGCTTTTATCAAATATATAGACGGACTTTGATATATAATTATAGTGACAAATTCTGATATGTTTATGTAAATTACATAAAATTATTTTAATTAAAAAACGTACAACCGACTGAAGGAAGATTTTTTATCGGTCATAAGTTGATATATTTAATTTCTGATGTATAGTTGAACTGTAAAAACAGTTTTTGCCGAACTTCATAGAACTTCAAATTTATACAATTAATTAAACATTTTTCGACACCGAAGGAATTTAGTTAATTGTAAAATTACAATTTTTATGTTTTATCATGAAAAAATGTCTATTTTATAGAATTTATGTCTGATATTTTAACTAACGTAAACCCGATTCATCAATTTCAAAGCATTGAAACGCTAAACTCCTTTCAACGCCCTTTGTTTAATTCGGAATATCCTGTTGTCGGTTTCAAATATCGGTACAACATATTAAGTGTCTAAGCGTAAATGCATCTTTTTCGTACTCAGACGTAGTTAGAAGCACTTCCAATCGGATAGACCTACAAATATCTTCGCCCGTATTCCTACTAAGACATTCAAAAAGAACCGTCGCTTTATCTCATTGCTTGGATTAATTATCTCGTTAGTTCTTGTTCTTTTTCGAATGTCTTGCTGCATTCGTAATTACTTATCTGTCTGCGCAGGTACCGAGTAAAAATATGTTTTAGTACGTCGCCACTCCTCAACTCGTTTAAGTACACTTGTGCCCAAGTACGTTCAATTAGAAGGTGCGGTTTGCATTTGCATTTCTGCTTTGTCCACATTATAAAGTCAACTATGAAGTCGATTTCGGATACTTTGGCGTGTGAAAGAAGGAGGTCAAATTAAAAATTCCATAATTATAGATTAAATTATGCAGATTCAATCGTCAGATGTTTGTTTAGCAATTATTATTCCGGCTATTACACTCGAAAGTTTTAAAAATATGGCAGTTTAATTAAAAGAACGAATATATAATTCGAAAAACTTATACACAGATATTCCTCTCCCAAAGGGTCGCAAATATTTTAATAATTAATGTTGTAAAAATCGATATTTCATATAATCGCTGCTTAAGAAGAAAGTTACCGTGGACGTAAATTTGATTCTACGTCACATACATCATATAAAATATGTAAAAAACGCTAACTTTTTAACGTGGACACAGTATTGATGCAACATACTCTCTTGCGTTCGCACCTATTTATACTACAGCATATCGTATCTTTTCGCAAGTGTGTTTTCGCTTTTCTTAACGTACGCGCGTCTCCATGTTGACACCGTAGCGGGATGTTGATGCCACTGTTAGTTGGTATTTGCAAATACAATAAAAAGATTACTAATAAACCGTGCGAGTCCACTGACGTCGTTATCGACTATACTTGAAAAATGTCATCGGAAGCCCGTGGCGCAACGCTCGTGTCGAAGATGGACGTCGTCGGCGTTGTCATTGGCGGAATTTCGCCTATTCGGGTTGGGATAGCGTTAGAAGTAGTTATCGCTGTCGTAATCGTCGTCGATATCGTCGTCATTGTCGTCATTATTGGGGCGGTCTCTGATACATCTGACGTCGTCGGTACCTGCTGTAAATAAAATTAATATTTGCGTTTAAAGTTTTATGAATATATATGTAGAATCTATAAATTAGTATGAAAAAAATGTTATTTATTTTATATTTTATATAATTTTATGGCCTGTGTGTCTATATACTAGTTGTTAACTTATGTATTTCATCTTTGATACGCATGCGTCAAATCTCTGATATAAAATATTAAGTAGTTGATTTATTGTGCCAACAAAATATTTTTCTCCGTATAATACACATTGCATTCATTACACATAAAGTCACGTTCATTTCTCAACAGTCAGTTTATGATGGTAATTGAGAACTATTATGACCGACGATAACAGATAGTTATCGTGGACATCGCTCCAACTTACCTCGTTGTAAAAGACTTCCTTCCCTTCTTCGACCGAAGGCAGCAACTCGTCCGTAGAATGAGGAGTCCTAGGGCTGGGTGTCGGTACTACCTGTTGCTGCTGTTGTTGCATTTGTTCCCGCTGCTTTGCCAGTCGAAGTTCTTGAACCGCCTGACGTTGCTCCTTATCGTTCCTCTCTTTCTCGAGCCTACGCGCGCTGTAGCTACGGGACGAGGACGTTGAACTGTGAACCGACGCTAAGCTAGGACGGCGGGAACCTATACGAAGAAAATAGACACATCGTGATGTTGGAGTATATTCTTTAGTGAAGCTAAATCTCTCTTCTACGCTAGGAAGAATATAACGTCAAAAGGCGGAAAGAATCTACTGCACTTGCGTTACTAGTGGTACGGCTATAATTGCTAAACTATAATATATATTTTTGCGATACCTTTGTCGGCGCGATTAATATTCGACGAAGCGGTGGGAGTGGAAGCTTAGAAAAGAAAGAGTCGTGCTATAAATTGGATAAAGGGAGACACGTATAAACGCATGAGGATGATAGCGAGAACACCCAGTGAATTCTTAACGAATGTAAAAAATCACAAAGGCAATGGCGAAATAAAAATTATTTGTTGAATATTTTTTGTTGTTTTTGATGTACCTTGGAAGATGATTGGGAATTTACGCCTGCGGAAACATGCTAGATTCATTGAAGGAGACACTAAACCAAATTATCAAGTTTTTTGAGATATCTAGGAAGTCTCATATGAAAAAGAATGACTCGTGAATGATAAATCGAGATGACAGATGATAAGTACTACCATGTTTGTACGAAAAGTACAATTGTTTAGGTGACGAATTGAAAACTGTCAGAATTGCAACGGAATTATTTCACGTATTAAATAATTTTATAAATAATTTTGCGCACTATAGGTGTTACATTGAGTTGAAATTTGAAGAGAATGCCATTTAAAAAATAATTATTTTGCGGTGTATATGTGGGTAGGTTTGATCTATACTCTGGATCGGTGCCGAAACGCCTGTAAATATATAACTTGCTCAGAAGTTGTTCGTGGATTCTTATCGGAATGCATATCCTCAGGCGCGCTTCTATACTAATGATACGTTATACAAGTCTGAGAAGCAAATATTTTTGACTTAGAAAAATACGTAAGCTAGCAAAGCAGGCTATACTAAAAATATCATATCTATTACTTTGGTGTTATGTGAAGGGCTACAGCTTTCCCGGCAAGAAAATCAAGAATATATCTCCATGACACGTGTTTCTTCATCAATATTAATTTTAACGGTAGTGTAGATAAATGTCAGTTTTATGGGGTCCTCACCGAGAAACTGGCCCCGTGTATTCATGCGATTTTATAAATTTATACGTTTGTTTGTGTGTCTGTGGTATGTGTGCAGCGAGCTGGACTAGTGCGCAAAGATTTCGTGTTTCTCTACCTGTCTTACCAGAAAAAATTCGTGAACGAGCAACGAAATCGGCCGCTGCCATCTTGCTATTTCGTAACACACTTGTGCTGCGTTATTTTATTTGCAGTGTCATGTTTTCTTACAAATGTATTGTAAGCCTACTCTTTATACGCGGCTTTTCGAGTTATTATATGATATACAACTGCTCATTATATATATAATTGTCTGACTCGAGACAATGGTGGTCAAGGAAGTTGCCTATGTTCCTTGGTTTCTTAGTTTTAGGAGGGAAGAATGCTTCGTGAATTGTAACTTGTACGTACAATTGAAGTATTGAAGTTATCCGGCGCGCTTACATCCGTAAAGATGCTACATCGCTGATTTTGTCTTCTTCTTTCATAAAATAAAGTGTCGACGGCTCGAACGAGGAGATATGCTTCTTAAGAGTTACGAAGAAAATTTGACGGCCGAGTGTAAGCGTATCGGAGAGCATCAATATACCCGATTGTGCAAACGTATAACAGACAACTGTAGAAATGACGTGAAATAGAAAGTAATAATTATGTTACGATGATGTACCGTGACAATGACTGGTTCTCCATTTACACCAAGTATATAAGAACAACTAAATATTGTCGAGAGAAATCAAAACGATTGAGAACGAGGAACAGAGAAACAGTTGCGTCAAAAGTTACCAAATTTTTCATTGATACTTGAGTAGAATCGCATACGTAGGAATTACGGAACGAGCAGCAGATTCGTTCGGTGAGTGAGACGTTACGAACACACAAGCGAGATTATCGAAGGCTGAGTTTTCCGTCGGAACAGCCGGATACGCGGATATCTAAAGACAGTTATCGGCAACAGCCGGTTACCATGATGCAGCCAGCGATAGTAACAACGATACGAACCGATACGAAGCATCGTTGTTATTGCGGCCGTCGTCAGTCATTATCATTATCATCATCATCATCATAACCGGCTGCTTTTTTATCGTTACCACCGTTGTCAGCACAAGAAGCGAGTTGCGTTGACAAACATAAAAAAGATGTAAGAGATACACGAAGAAGAGTACGAAGACAGAACTAGAAACAGATAGTCACACATAGCCATGATGAAGGGGCGGGGAGGTACACATGAATCTGTCACTGCCAGGGTAACATATTTGTGTGAATGAACACAGCAGTCGAATGACGCCGACAACAGTATCCCCGTCAAACCACACACACACAGACGGGTATTCCTGTACTCGCTGTTTCGTGTTTACGTATTCGAGCCGCATCGTCATCGCGCACCGAGCACGAACACGATACCCGATGTCGATACGCGTGGGTCGACAAGCAAACAGGAAGAACGTCATGAGCGAACGTTAAAGGGGGACAAAGAGTGGAGAGGAGGTAGAATACATCATATGTATGTACGGGAGGACACGAGACACTGAGGGAGCGACAGAGGCAGAAAGAGATCGTTGATCGTCTACCGAGGCCGTCGGACGATCCCTCGGCTACGTCACTAAGGGTACGTCGGTGCTTGTTTCCGCCTTTGGTCGCCTGCAGGTGACACGATATAAGCAAGATGGCTGCGGCTCGTGCCGCACCTGCTCGGGACGCCGGTACCAAAGGTCCGCGACTACCGCCACTGCTGGGCCTCCTGGTGAACGCACAACTGAGAGGCCCGGCGCTGCCGCTCCGCTGGCTCGATCGCGAGGACGGACGTCCGTGCAGCGTCAGCGGAATGCCTGCGAAATTATTTTCGGGGAGTTATTTCTGTAACGGGGATACGTAGTATAACGTGAGGATCACGTAGCTACTTCGGCCCTCAACCCCTTTTCGTGTTCTCGGACATGATGGACTCTTCCCGTTTGACCTTTCCAATGAGGTTTCTCGCAAGCTGATGCCGTCCGGCTGAGGTTTTAGGCGAAATACCCTCGATGCCGTCTGTTACCGTGATATCGCGCACATGTCGATAGGATAGAATATCATTTAGCTTCAACGTCTTTCCAATAACAGATAGAAACAAAACTTGGAAAAATTGTATCTCATTAAAAACGAAATTAAATGCGAAGAAAAGCCTGTTAAGATTTCTCTTGTGAATAATACTTTTTTAAACTATCGTTGCGAAATAATTCCTCCGTGGAAACAGAAAAAATGATTCTCTTATTCTATAGATTATTTTTAAATGAAAATGGTAAAGTTAATTTTCGGTGTAGCTTTATGTTTCTTGGAAATATATACTTTTATGCATTTTATCATCTTACGGCTATACATTATTGGCGATACGATTTTCAAATATATTCTGACGCGTGACGTCGAGAGCAATGAAGTAAAACGAGAATAGATACCTTCGAAATATATACTATGCATCTTTTCGATATAGAGATACGCTTTATCGATTTAGGTAGATAGATGAGAAAGTAGGTTTTCCACGAAATGGGAGGATAATTGTGAGACGAAAGTTAAAGCTCAACGCGTATGTCTGCTGCAGGAATGTAGTAGCAAATGATGCAGGCTAATTAGGAAAATTATGCAGATTAAGCGGACCGTTTTACTCTTATTCTGCTTCTAAAAACGAAAATATGATATAAATTATAATATATCATTTCTCCGTTTACCTAAATTAAATTGTTAGCTTGCAAGTTGTCATCATCGACATTGCAGCATTAACTTACGGTGTCATAAAAAGCGACGCTAATTCCTTTAAATCGAGATAGGTGTTTTAAGTGTTTGAGAAGGAAGATTGAAAAATATTGCGCCAAATTTTTCAATTATGATAACATACTCGTATTAAAATAGTCTGCCTCTCAAAACGAAAAAAAATGAGTCAGATACTATTAGGTGTTAACCACGACATACGCTCATTAGAAACTTTATTTTTCTCTATCTTTAAAAAAGCCTTATTTTAAAAATATTACTTCTGCAAATTTATTTTTAAAGCAAAAGAAGTTCATTGATAAAGAGAAGTAAAATCGTTACTTGTTTTTATAAATATAATCGATATTATTGCAAGACTGATATTTTCCCGCAATTGTAATATATTTGATGAGGTATCTAAGTTTCTAAAGGGATTAACCGGTCGTTACTTACCCGTATCGCTGGAAAACAGCATGGGTGGCGCATGGTTGGCGTTGGCGTAATGCCGCGGCCTTGAATACCTCGCCCGGCTGAATAGTTTGAGCACGAAGCATATCATCGCCGTGAAGATGGCTATCCCCGATGCTATGCAGAGTAGGGTTGGGATGTCCGTAGTTATCAGCACCAGATCTGTCGGAGAAGATTACGGCGAATTAGAAGGACGCAGCTCGATAACTCGTCGTGAATCAATATTGGAATAAATTTCCTCAAGGCCTGTCTAGTGACGATCGAGGTCATTTTATTCTAATTTCCGCGATAAAATCAATCAGATACATGGTTCGTGAACGTCACTAATTTTCTGTATGAAGTCAAATAATTGATTAATATATAATTAAAATATATGAGGGCGACCGAGAAAACTTTTAATCGCAAGTTGAGTCAGCAAGCGATATATATATACGTGTAGTATTCTTAGAAAAATATATTAAATGTAAGATAACACACCTTCCGCGCAGAAAACCTTCTTGTTAGGCCTAGAGAGAGCAACCCTGTGATATCCTTCTTCGCAATCGCACACGGCATTGTGCTGAACCTGGGTACACGTGGAATGTTGATCCTCAAAAGTGCACGTTGCACGGTAGAAGCACTGCTCTCCGAGTCTTTTGGCTAGAAATCGATCGTTCGAAACGACCACGCTCATTAAGAAGCATATCTTTTATTCAATAGGAAGTTGATCAAAGTCATCTATTTAAACAAGAGGTTTAATCTTTTTTAAATTGTCAACAGAACTTTACTCAATCTTCGAATTCCACATCTCTATTCGTTTCAGCAAATTGCTAATTCGTCGCTTTTAGGTTGATATTTATTGCTTTTGTCTGTAATGCAAATTCAAAAAATGTTTGTACGCGCCTGACTGGAAGATAATATTTTACTTTGGCCATTGTCATTTCATTTAGAGGTGAAAATTTTCCACGTGTATGAAAAATATTCTCGAATCTCTCAGTGACGAGCAAAAATATTTACGAATTATTCCACGTTTTTGTGTTCTTTTATATTAATTTAACCACTTTTATATTAATTTAACCTTTAACTTTTATATTAATTTATACGATCTCCTAAACACGTTTTTAAGTTATATTGGAATATTGGAAATTTGCAAGGTATATTTGCGTTTTCGCTCGTATGTACACGACGGCCAGGCATGCTTCACATTCGACGTGTAAAACAAACGTGCACACGGAGTCTTTTCACACCGGACCGGAGAATTCATTCAGGCCATCAGGAACGCGCGAACATTTATTTTCACCGACCGTTACCATAGAAGTTATGATATCGGAACGACCTACTTGCGCGAGGGTTAGTAGCTACTAGCTCCTACGTACGTTTGGCACATCCCTTGGTAGGCCCGAGACGAACGGGGTAGAACTTTTCGCACTCGCAAAAGCCAGTGATTGCATCACAGAACACGTGCTGTAGCTCGGGATTGCACACGAGATCGCAAGGCGAGCCCAGGTACTGCCCCTTCTCTGCAAGAAAAGAGAGAAATTATATGTATAGTATCTTCATTTTTAATCGTACTTTCGCATACGGTGGATGAAAGCAATACTCTTCAACTCGATTATGCAAAAGCGCAAGCTTTATTAGGTCAAAGCTGAAAGCTTCGTGCTTTGCGGTTTTGCTTATCTTAACAGAGTTTTGAAGAGATAAGAAACTCTTAATATATCTTAGCTTGTCCTTTCCTTGATACGTTTTATATAAAAAGCGATTTTAATAAATGCATTATCTCAGGACAGTTATTAAGTTACCTAGAGAAATAAATTGGAGGAATAACTGTATGATAAATTCTCCAACTCCGCAAATTTTCCGGATTAATATGTATAAAAAATTATAAACTGAAACGATATATGCAATATTTGATATTATTGCATCGATAATTTATAGATGTTTAATTGCGATCAGTATTTTTGAGATATAAGCCATTTTACACATTTAATTAATCCATTTGCACCATTCGGGAACGATCACTAATTGGCATTGAGCCAGATTTCGTGGTTAGCTTGTTATTCAATATATAATGAGGTGATATTTCATGCTCTTTAGCCTTGTATTTTTAACCAAATTTTATTCGATTTTAGATCGATGGTAGAAAAAAGTTTAAAAATAAAATTAAAATATAGAACTTTAAAAATAAATATATAATATATGGCTCAAAAATTTTAAGTAGTTTGTACGTATTTCGACTTTTTTAAACAATTTAAGAATATCTTATAGAAGTATACGAAATTTTTTTTAATTGAATACAACAATAAGATATCTTTCGTATATTTATGGAAAATTTCTTGTTTTCATGTTAATGTAGGAACATATGTTTGTTAATAATAAATACAGAAGAGAGAGTTAGTACATTTTACGCATTTTTGATCGATGACGGCAAATGAATTGTATTTGCATTATTATTTAGCATTTCGATAATATCGTTTCAACGAAGTACGATATCGTAGCGAGGCGAGTAATATATATCAATCCATTTGTAGAATTTAGCTACAGTGAGCGGGCGGCGTGCCAAACTTTTCGCTACGAATTCACCTCTAGAACACTGTAACTGTATCGTCATTACGTGCTTTGTTCCTTTCGCATTAGTGGGCCAAGCGATAATCATTAACTCCTTTGGCACGCTTTCAAATTGCAATCGCAACAATGTGTTAGTAATTACAAACTTTCTCTAATTAAACATCTCCAAAATCAGTTATAGTAATGCATTCTTTGTACGCTCGAATCAGGTAAATCGATTTTTCCACTATTGCTAACGAAGACACTAATTTGTTGCGAATGAACGTATTACGAATAGGCCGCGAAGATTCTTCTTAGATCCTCCGTGTTTATCGTTCTCTTTGTTCTATGCGTATTATAGTAACACTAGGCGATGAATTCATTGTTCGAACATTGTTATATTCTTAAAGTATTAATATCGCGTTAAATCGATTGAGGACAAAAAATTCTTATCATGCATCGTATTCTTTTTTTATTCTACATGTAATTGTATAATATGGTTATTGCGGTTTTGCTTAAAATCCCTTACGTGAGATAGCAATAAGTAAATTTTAATTCGCCGATTCAGCGCACAATTTTTATCTGAAATCACTAGATTCAAGAAATAATTTCGAAGTTTCAATTCACAGACTAGTGTTATTTTTACATCTTCATCTTTTAATGATATTTGTATCTCGAGTAAATATCTTTATTTGTCAGTCGACTACGACACGTACTTCTCATCGGGCTGTATTATTCGGCTCGACACATAAACCGCTTGTTTAATGACAATGACAGTCGCCGGGTATAAATGTTCCGCGTGTTATTTAACGCCGCAGACGCCTATGCAAATACGGAGATTCAATATTACAGAACGCATTGTCTGATGGATAATAGCGTCCGTGCGACATAGTTTATGTCGATTCGCGACGAGTGTCGTACTTGCTCGCAATTTCGCGCTCTGTGCTTAGAAATGCAGCCTCGCGGGTGAATTTCTTTTTTGCGAGACCGTGTTTAATTTCGCGATAGGAGTTCATTGCACGCGTACATACGTGTTACAGCCGCTTCGCGTGCATTCTATCGTTTCCCCATCGAGCGAAAACTTAGATTAGCGTGGTTTACAAAGAATCTAACGCGAGTTTTTAATAACGGCTGATGGATCGGTGCATGCGTGCAACTTTATTAAAAACGATGATAAGAAAAATTATGTTCGAATCGTTAACATTATTTCAGGTTACTCTGACGGCTAAATTCAGATTGCGGAAAATTTACGAAAATATATCACGCAAATGTGAAGAGATATTTATTTCTAATATTTAAATAAATTTATAATTTTTATTCGTCAAATTAATGATATCGTATATAATAACCCATTTCTGCTGTAATAATCTATATTTCTTAACATGACAATCAAACAAGTTTGATTGTCATGTTAAGAACGCTATTAGGCTTGAAACACACATTCTTTTTTGTTGCATATTCATTTCGTATCACGGTCAATTAAACATTTAAGCCTTGCTTTTTCGTGTTAATCAGTTTGTTCCATCCGATTGCTCCTTCCATACTGATAAAAATGCACGCGGTTTATGAATGAAAAGATATATAAATGATAAGCAATCTTTACTGTCTCGTTATTCTCGCATTAAAAATCCTCTTTTGAAAAAGAACAGAGGCGCAACGTACGCTTGTACGTTGTGTGCAACTCGCACACGCGGACTCGCGGAACGAAGCGAGCAGCATCCATTAAAATCAATACCGGCTTGGCGTGCTTGGCGCGAAAATCAAGAAGAATGTGCTTCCTTCTCGGTTAAACCAACGCGTGCGCTAAACCACCCACTAGAGACACTTTCTATTTTTCCGGAGTGCAAGAACGACGTTATGCGTCTTGCAGTAAAACGCGACAAAGCGAGTAAAGAAATATCAAAAAAATAAGCTGAGATACAGATATAGTACTACATAAAGTTTAAAGATATCAAAGAAGAGAAGAATATATTATCATAATTTAACAAGAATTTGAAATTTATTTTCAGTTGTTTTAATAAAATTTTAAGCGGCAATTAGTGATAGAATGTTATAATTATACATATAAAAGCTTTATCTCTATAATTCTAATCTCTATAATTTCTAATAATTTAAGTAATCAAGTAATTATCGTATTCGCTTTTTTCAAAGCCTAATTTTCTAAAATTCTGCAATTTTAATATTTAGAAAGAATTATTTTTATGCGGAAAGACATCTCACTCTTGAATTGATGTAAAAAATAACGCATCACGTTTTTCCTGTCAAACTGCTAAGATTGTAGATTTTATTATACGAATATCTGCGCAATTGGAGATATAATTGATTGAAGATATAATTAACTTGAAGATATAATTAATAAGCATTACATTCGAGAATTTTCGTGATCAAAGGTTTTTAGATGGATGAGCATTCTCGAGGAAAGTGTTTGCGCGATGTACAGCAGACGCGAATAAGGCGAGGTCGGTAAAGGAGAATCTTTAGATGCTTCACTTTCCATCGTTTCACGTGAAAATGGAGTATCGTTTCACATGTATGAACTGAACATACTTCGATTGCAAATTAAACAGAACTCTTGCATTAATCTGTTACATTTATCGAGCAAATTTTCACGTAACAACAACTGTATTATTTTATTTCCATTTTTATCAAATCTTCCTTTTTCTTTTTGCCTTAAACTTTATTTAATTTTCGTTTGTTGTTTCATTTGCATCTTCTCGAAGGAATTGTAATTCTCTTCGTAATTTTTCATTGTAATCTTATTGCCTGGGAAAGAATCTTTTTCTAAGGTTTAGTTTCTTTTTCTTTTTAATTAGTATACACGGTAAATAATTAATTCATTAATGAAATGCGCTCCTGTGCTTTAAAGTTTAATGAAATAAAATTTAAATTTTAGCTACATATTGCTCTCATTAATTTTTGACATTTTTATCTAAAAAAATGTGTAATCTACATAAAAATATGTAATATACATTATTATAAATTTATAATAGGCACTCTTTTCTTCTCGTATTAAGCAACAAGATATTCTTATTTCATATATTTAAAATATATGTATTAAAAAATATATATTAAAACACTCCGCGATCGAAAACAAAAAAATATGTATTAAAACACTAGAATATATAAAATTATAATTGGTCACACACACATTGCAGTAAATCAAATGATGACTTAATTGTAGCATTTCTTTCACAATAAGTTTCGATATGAGATTGTACATAAGCAAAACGTTTCACATTAACAAATACAGAACGTAGACATTTGAGAAATTGAAGATCTCGTAATTCCTTTTACTTCGAAATTACACTTTTTTCAAGAAGCAATGTTATTTAAGATAACCCTTGTTTCGATTGTTATTACAAATTCGATTGCTGTGAAATCCACACTAATGTTTCACAGTATATTTACATATCTATACATATCTATTTGTATTTCATGAATATGATACGAAGATGTAAAAGTAGGAAAGTAGGAAACGATATTCTGAGTTTTAACCGGTGTCTTAAAATTATCGGCGTTGAACAATCTTTTTCTTACTCTCACGGACTCTTTGCTCCGCGATCGAAATTACAAGCAAGACGACGACGATGCACGACGATTAACTTTTTTCACTCTTCCCTTAAGGTCTTAAAAGCAAAAAAAAGATTCACCCGTCAACGATCCCTATCCTTCTCAAGGCCTTTAAACACCTTCACCAACATCACCTAGGTAACGAATAATCATCACAACGTTACCATCGAACCATCCTACGCAGGTCCTTGGCTCCTAAATGTTTCGTCAGAACGTCCCGTCAATGGCGACTTCGCTCAGGAAGTTAGGCTTTTCAGACACTAATCACACGCCTCTTAACTATCCAGGCGAAAATTCTCGTCGGCGATTCGACGAAAGCGCACTCGGGACGATCTTTACATCCCCTCAATCACCGATTGATTTAAAGGCTCGCTGTTAGGCACCCAGCAGCACTGTCGACCTCACCTCCGGTGGTCGGTGCACTTACTCTCCCGAGTATCGCCATCGACCTGGCGGAGGCACTCACCCGCGGTAATATTTGTCTCGAGATAGTCCTCGTCGTCGCCATTGGTGGGTATCTGTCCGTCGTCGTAAACGTCGACGTCTTTGTCGAGGTAGCTGGACCCGCGTACCGCGTCATCACCTCCTGGCTGTTCTCGGGTCCGGCGTACCTGCCGCGTGTCGCAGGTGCAGGCGGGTATCAAGAAGACGAGGCAGGTCAGCAGGAGCCAACAGCAGCAGCAGCAGGTCAGTCTCAGGGCGGAGGGAAGTGCGCTCATCGCCCCCGCGGCGCGAGTCAACCCCCGAAACCGACCACCGACGGCGCATCGACATCCTTCCCCGTCGCCTGCTCTCCCCTCCCTCCCCGCNCAGAGAAGCGCTCTATGTCGCGTACGCCACGTTCGTCCGTGTGCGTGCGCCCGTGTCTACTTCCGTGGCGGCGGACACGGTACGGGGTGCAGCCCCGTGGATACGCGAGCGGCCGCGACGCCGAGGCTTAACCTCCGCGCGTTCGCAACCCCGAGCACTCTCTGAGGAGATGCGATACGGGCCCGCACGAAACCGCGCCGTCTCGTTCACTGACGCCGCGGGTCCTCAGGAGAGAGAGAGCGGCGACGGGGTTGCAGCTGCGCGCCGCGGCTCACCTCGCCCAGCCTTGCCGCACCGCGTCGATCGCGCGCGAGCAGGGCTTAGTCTCCGTGGGTCTCTCTCGGAGGAGGGGCGGAGTGGGCGAATGCATGTATGCGCCTGTATTGGGGCTGTTAGGCTGACGACGCGGTCCCTCTGCTCGCGCGGAGGCTCTCCACGACTCGCCCGAAGACTCGGAGAATCGGGAAGGCTCTTACCACCCTGACCCGAGTTCACCGGCACCGGCTCTTCAGTCGCGGCGGTGCGCCGTGATCGATTCGAAAATAAAGCACGGCCGGCCCGGAGTCACCTTTTATCGCGCGGCATGACGTTCGCTTCCTTATCGTCGGCGGACATCTGCGACGGCGAGGGTGCAACTGGGGCAGCAATTACTGTTTAAACGGGGTGACCGATATATCGCGGCCGAACTACCGCGATTACGACGATCTTACGTTATCGTTGAACGGTGTTAAGCAGCTCCGATTGCGTCATGTTAGACGAGTTATCTATGCGAGTCTGTTCAGCATTAATGATATTAGCGAGAGATGAAGAATTGGAGTTATGCCCGCGTCGCTTGGTGGTGAACCGGCCTGCCCGAAAGTCCCGCCGGAGACCGCTTTAATTGTTCGCTTGTTTCTTCGGTTTTTATGTGATGACGCTTCACTTTATTATTGTTGTTAAAAATATCTTGCTACATGTTTGTTTGGGAAAATAACCAACTCTATCGGAGAACTACGTGACGATGTTGTTGGTAATACTAGCTGTTGATTAAATACTATTGGTTCTTTAGAAAGTGTAAGCAATAAGGCGTAATCTAATTTGTTACTAGATCGCAATGACTATGATGATTATGTTGATGTTCTTCATAAGAAGATAGCATTTTCGCAGGTTAACGACTCGGTGGCAGAAGAATCTTGCGCTAAATAATCCGTCGAGTTACCTGTGGGAATGAATTTCACGATTACATTGCCATTATCGTCATATATAAGAGAATATTAATTATGATTAAACTTTTCATTTTAACGCGTCATTATAATGGACAAGTGTGAAACGTATTAAGTGCGACTAAATGATGAGGAAGTTGCGAGATTTTTATCGTTCGCATGACGCGCATTTTCTATCGTTATCGTCTGTTGCTCATAGTTTATCCCCTATATACAAACGAAAGTGAGACATCGTGTGTTTATCTTCTAACGATTACATCTTTAAACACTTGACTTGATACATTTAGCTCTTATAAGTTACATTTATCTCCGCCGATGCGTTTCAAAAAATTACCTGTAATCAACTTATTCTTTTGGTGCTTGCGATATAGTAAATACACTGTCGCCATCAGACCTATCGCGATTAATGCGGCAATAGAGGCGACGGGCCAAGCTATCTTGGCAACTTCAGACGAAGCGTTGTAATGAGGCATCGTGTAACAAGGCAAGTCTACATAAAACAAAACATGGATGAGGCTAATAGATTCCAACACTGTCATATTCAAATAAGGTCATAGAAAATCTCTTCTATCCTTAATATCAACTTTGCAGAATTTTGGGAGTTCTGCAGCTCCGTATTAAATTCGACCTTCTCACTTGATTTGATATCTTTTTAACTGATTCGATTAGCTAAATAGCGCGCACACAACCGTGTCTATATTGTTCTATAGTTATCTATATAGTTTCGTATTAACAAAAGAGAGTGATATTTTCTTTAAAATGATTTCAAGTACCTGTGTTAAGTAAACAACTGACAGTAGGAATGGTAGCGTTAGCTTCATCAGAGTATACCACGTAGCAGAGCGATTTGTTACTAAGAGAACTATCGCACTGATGACAATACGGTGCGTCTGCGAGTGCTTGTCTAGTTGCGCTACTCGTATCGTTGCTAATCGTGATCCTACGAATCATATTATAACGGGTCACAAGAATCGCCATTATTATAACAAACGATTTTTCGCAAAAGTGAATCCGAGTCGAAATTTTACATTTTATATTAAATCTTCGATTCTTCAAGAAGAAAAGTACAGAAATAAGTTCCTGTTTGTAGCATGAAAGAAGCACAATAAGAGCACGATAAAGCTACCATAGACATGTAGAATAGACTAAACACTCCCGTTGGAGGGCTAAAACCGGCATAGTAAGAAAGAGCAATAGAACCGGCAGTGCTTTCCTTCTCTAATGGTGGGGAGAAGGAATGAGGAAAAGCGATGGTTATAAGTATTATGAACTTGAAGACTTAGTGTAAATCTAAAGTAGTAGACTAAAATTTCGACTCGGGCAGCTTACCAAGACAGACGATACTTACCTGCTGATATCGCTGTGATTAAAATTCATCGTTACGACGCACACGGTCGGTTCTTCGCAGTCCTGTCCCTTCCATCCGAAATAGCACTGGCAATAGTACTCATCTTCGATGACGCACATGCCGTGTTCGCTGCAATTACGGGTGCACTCGGGGATGCATTCCGCCACGAAATTGTAACCAGTATTTTCCACGAAGTTGTCGTGGCAGACGCAATGATTCGGCGCGACGCAGTCGCCGTTCTCGCAGCCGCGCTCGCAGACCGGCTCGCAGGCGCTCCCGTTTCGCGACTCGAAGCCGCTGTTGCACGTGCAAAGATTCGGCTCTGTGCATGTGCCGTTAGTGCAGCCTTGAGCGCAAAAGGGCACACAGTTACCGTTGTTACCCTTCTCGTAACCGTCCTTGCAAGTACAAACGTCGGGTGCGATGCATATCCCGTTACTCCCGCAGGAAGGGTAACAGATTGGTTCACAAATGCGCGACGTGCTGTCGTTGAGTGAGAGAGATTCTTGATGAGACACGGCCCAAGATGGATAATATCCTACGATGCAAGTGCATACGTTTGGTGCACTGCATTTGCCATTGACGCATTCGTAATCGCAAAGTGGTTGGCAGATGGAGCGAGAGCTTTCCGTAGAATTGTCGTATATCTGCTTGTTCAACGAAGGACAAATAAATCTTTTTAAATCAGCTATGACTAAAGGGTTTCTCTTTTAGAACTATTGCAGTCATCATATTGTAATTGTAGTTTAATTAATTAATAATTGTGACTTGATTTTTATCGAGCGAAGTATGTTTTGTTACAAAGGACAGTTCTGAATTAATTGGAATTGAGAAAAATTGTCTTTGCTAACATTAGTAGTAAAATATAAGATACGTGACGAATTAAGGCGTTATTTCATTAGAAAGAAAAAAATCTCATTTTCTAATACATTCTGCATTCGTTTGCGGAACGGTTTGCAACCTTTTCTTTCGACATATTTCGGAACGCAGTCAACGTCCAATGGGAAAATTCGTTTTTGTGTAATTCTTGAAAGACAAATTCTCTTATTGCGCATCGTATGCTTTTCGAAGTGCATCGACAAAAAGTACGCAAACTGTTCTACAAACGAATGTATATATTTTAGCAAGTTTTAGTATATAATTATTAATAATATCCAGAGTAGGTAAGTTAATTTTTATTTTAAACTAAGTTAAAAATTATAATGGCCTATAAAATTAATTTAATTAAGATAAAAGTTACCTAAATAGAAACTAACTTAATTAAAAGTTAAGTTAATATTGAATTAATATTTAGAGTTAAAAATCAAGGAGTTAAAAATCAACGAGATCAAGTTAACTGGTTTAAAATTAACTGAGTTAGGTTAAAAATGATTGACTTTTTCAATTTTTAACTGAATAATTAGTTATTTTACTAAATCCTAATAATATCTATACTTTGTGTTTTGTTATACTCACACTGGCATTTAAAGGGATCGCGTGGTATCCCTCGAAACAGGTGCAGTTATTGGGCGATACACACTTTCCATTCAGTCCGCAGGGGATCTCACAATGTGGTTTGCACTTTGTGTCTGTACTGTTGTCGTAAAAGAAGCCTTTGTTGCAGGTGCATATTTCGGGCGCGATACACACACCGTTAGTGCAATCGAATTCGCAGATCGGCTCGCAGGTGTATTTGGAGTCGGCGAGAAGCCCGTAACCGTCGTTGCAACTGCAACTCTCAGGAGCCACGCAGACTCCCATCCTGCAGGGCTCCGTGCAGATCGGCTCGCAGACGGTGGCGTTCACCGCCTTGTAACCACGGTTGCAGGTGCAAGTCTCCGGCATCGTGCACGTGCCGAAAACACAATTCTTGCTGCACTTCGGCGAGCAGGTGAAGTTAGGATCGAACTTGTCCGCCTCGTAACCGTCCGCGCACTTGCAGATGTCAGGCGCTACGCAGTGACCGTTCGTACACGCGCGTTCGCAGATAGGCTCGCACTCGTTGTCGCCGGTTTTTCTGTAACCTAGATGACAAGAGCAAACACGTGGTTCCGAGCAGAATCCGTGACTTCTCTCGCACTTTTTGTCGCAGATCGGGAGACAGGTGATCCCGTCCGCGCTCATCCAATAATCCTCGTTGCACTTGCAAATATCAGGTTCGATGCACGTGCCGTTAATACAACCGTTCGCGCACACCGGGTGGCACTTTGTACTGTTAATGCCGTCTGTCTTCTGGTATCCCGCATCGCAGATGCAGAAGTCCGGGGCTGCGCATAATCCCTTCTCGCATGGTGTTGTACAACGCGGCTTGCAGTCATTACCGATTTCCTGATAGCCCTTACAGCACTCACGTACTACAGTATGTATGGTATGATACTGTAAATATAATTTACGGATCAGAATGAATTATATCGATGACATGAGCAGAGGCGAGCAGCATACTGTTAATAAAAGTACTTCGTCCAGAAAGGAACAAAAATTAAAATTAAACCCCTGCGATAAAACAGAAATGCTGATGTTTTACTTACAGGTACAATAATATTAATTTTTGCACCATTTAATGATTTTTACTGATACATCTTTATTGAGTATGTTGTTGCTTGGGCAACAATATATTTAAGTAAGTAAGTAATATATTTAATATATAAGTTTATGTGAAGAACGATTTTAACACGTTTGTTTTATTTGAAGGATCCACCCCACAGATCACTTCATATTTTTTTTACATAGTTGTATAAAACGGATTGAGCTTCATAATGTGAACATAAAAAAATTTGTGCTGTCACACATGTGTGACGTTGGTCGCGAGCGTGTAACCATAGCGTAGAAAATAAGGATTTTGCCATTTATACGAAAATATATGTATATAGTCTCTTTTTTATATTTTATCTTGTATTCATCTTCTGTCATCGCGTTATTCCAAAATACAATTACCTCTATTCTGTAATTCTGACGAGTTTTGATCCGATGAAAGTTCCATATTGAAGTTCTATATGTTTCCAGATAAGGAACATATTGTGATACCTGTTTACTGTAACGAAAAAAGAATTGAGAAGAATTCTTTAGCTCTTTCTATTGAATTCCCACTATTATTATTAATGAATTAATAAATTAGTAGTAAAAGAAATTAATTAATTAATAAAAATATATATTTCTACAGGTAATATTATAATAAATATAATAATACCTGACTATCCCATAACATATTCCTGAATGAAAACCCTCATATCTTTCACGCGGTTCTTCCAGAGCACAAACTTCACTATGTGACCACTTTCCAAATTCCAATAATAATACTCTGGTAGTCAGAATAGCGACTAAACTTTTGAGTATCCTCATGATTTCTAGCTTCTATATGATGTCGACATGTGTTCTGTAATATTCAGACTGACCATCATAGTGCGTTCTTTCAGTATTTTATCTCGCTTATCTCTTGCTCTCTACCAGCGTGTACATTATATTAATGTGTATGAGGCAGGATGTACTGTGCTATCAGTGTTGTAGCTGAAAGGCTACACCTACATTCATACCATTATAGGCTACACCTATATTTATACCATAAATAAAAATCATATGAAAATATTAATCTTAGGAACTCGAACCGGAGTCCCGAGAGTTAAAATTACGGTTTGGTTACGGTAATGGTCTAATAAGATATTTAATAACGGTTCCGGTTTTGATTTCTTGGCTAATGAAAGTGCTGATATTGTAAGTACTGATTTTTATATTGCGCCTTTTTCGGTTTCAGATTTATTTTAACTTTGTTTTTATATTCTCACATCTCTTTGTTAAATTATATATGTATTTATATGTATAGATTGTTTGGAAATTAATGGTATTAATGGCATAATGCTCATATGCAAGTAGACCGTATCAAATTAATTAGATAAGTTCTGTATCATTTTGTAAATTTCGTAATAATTACTAAGAAATTGAACTAAACAACATCAGCAAATGAGTGTGTGGGAAGCAGTAGAATAAATTTTGTCAGGTCTCATTCAAAATGGCTTGAATCTATTGACGATCTCCTGGCAAAGAAAGACAGTACATGATTTAGATTTTGTACATTCAGCACATCTACACTGTCCAGCATGATGAATAATTTAATTATATTAACTTTGTGTTTTTTTTTATTATATAAAGAAGAATTATTTTTCTATTTCATTATGTATGTATGTATGTATATATTTTCTTTCTGTATGTAACCTTCTGCAATCTGAAATCTGTACAAAACAGGATAAATAAAAATTAAAAGCATTTTAATATTTGACACAGTAATTTATTAAGGATGTCGCAATCAACATTATACCACAATATACGTTTTATAACATTAATAATTAATGAAATGAATTAATGCTAAACTAACTTTTATTTCCAGTTAATTATTGAAAAAAATGTTTGTTTTTTGCATTAGTTGCTATTAGTTGCTATTGCATTAGTATAACTATTGTAGAAAAATTAAAGATTCCATATCATTATTCCGTGGTATATCTCATGATTAACTTCAATTAGTTACTCTTCTTCTATTAGTCCTTGCATCGATGTACTTTGGGCATGTCTTGCAGCTGTTAAATTAATTAATCCGTATTATATTTGTTTTATTATTTATATATCATAAAATCGTATTTTTTCAATATGTTGGGTATTTAAAATATCTTGATAAAAATAATACCTAGATTATGTAGCTTATTTGGATATTTTCGTAGCAGAATATATATTACCACAACCCCCATTGTAATTAAAAATCCGAGTCCTACTATGATACCACCTATTTTCATAACTTTTTTTTGGGCTATATATTGGCTCTTCAACTGAAGACAGTCTAAGAAAAGTGATAAAAGTAGCTTTTTATTGCTGGCATATATGTATATAATTTTAATTTATTTATGTAATATACTGTAGTTAAATTTTGATGAAATTTCAATATATCATATGTAATTCAATAAGCAAGTTAGTTTTGACTATAAATAATTACATAAAGTATTCGAAAATTAATGTTTCACAAATTCTTCTTTTTAATTTACGGTAAAAAACTCACAAATTGTGTTGCAAATAGTTTTGATGAAATTAATATTCTAATAAATTTAATGTAGAATAATACGTAACTACACGTTTTAGAATGTAAAAATGTATTTTTTTATAAATTTATTAAACAGACCTTCATCCATTAAACACCCTATTTGTGTTGCATTCTTTGTATCGTTGATGTTCATCTTAAAACATAAAGTCGTATTTTTCAATTTACTAACGCATTCCGGACAATACGTTGGATTATTCATGAGAATATACTCAATTTTGGCATCTTGTTTCTCGATCCTCAATCTGTAAGATAATGAATGATTCACAAGTGGTTTATAAACGAATCATTTCAGATATTATTACAATATTTGAATGATTTTTGTTCTAACCGACGAGAGAGCACACTCTTTATTTTTCTTTTATATAGAGTAAGGAAATAACCAACCTCAATATATTTTCAAAAAATAAAAATATTTTCCTGACAATTAGATGAAGATAAGTAAAGTTTACATTTACAGTATGTGTTCGAAGTGATGACTATTTGTATCAATGCGATATCTGTTACATAAATTTTTCCCTTATTCTCATATTTCGAAGAGTGATTTTTTCAAGGTGATTTATTATTTCATCTTGTATAACGCATTGATTTAATATGTTTATTAAATTGATTTAATATGGTTATTAAATATCTTGTTGCACATACGCTAATGCTTAAACTTACTCGTCACTATTTCTGTCTCCTAATATCATAATAATTATTATATATATTTTACATTTATAAGAAACAAAATAAAAAAATTATTTTAGTCGGTTTCCTATACTTACGTCTCGGTGCGACTTTCGTCGTTGTCTAAGATTAAAACACACATGGCGGGTTCGCAATGCACCCCGTCGCCAATCCACCCGTGATTGCATTCGCAGGTTCTCTTCTCGGTGATGCACTTGCCATGTTTGGCACACGAACTCTCGCATGCGTACACGCAGGTATCTTCGATCTTCAGGTAACCAGGATGGCACTGACACTGGTTCGGCGCCACGCATTCACCGTTGTCGCAATTTTTGCAACTCGGTATACATCTACTTATGTTTCGCGACCTACCCTCAGGGATAGACCGCGATCTCTGAATTCCGACGTTTGATTGTTCCAGGACGAATCCCTCGTTGCACTCGCATACTTCAGGTGCGACGCAGATGCCGTTGCTGCACATCGTGCAAACGGGCTTACATCCGCCGTGCCATTTCTTCTTGTAACCCTCGAAACACTCGCACTGATATGGCATTTTGCATGTACCGTTATCACAATCATGGCAGTTAGGTATGCATTCTTGATTTTTACTGCCGGGGGACCCTGATAGATGGTAACCGTGGGTACAGATGCACTCGCCGGGGTAAGCGCAGTTACCGTTTTTGCAACTTGATTTGCAAACAGGTTCGCAGTAATTCTTTTCGGATTCGCTGCCAAAATATTTCGATTAAAACTATGTTTGCAAGTATATCTGTTTTAATATTTTGCAACGTCCATTGACGTGATAAGCGATTTTACAGAAAGGTGCGAATACATACGAAAGTACATAGCCTTTATGGCAGTGGCAGTTTCCGGAATCATCGCATTCCCCATTGATGCAATTCGGGACACATATCGGCTCGCATGCCTAATGAGAGAAACAGTGTGATATATTCTGAAAAATAATATCTTCCACATGAATATATGAAGATTTACAGAAAATAATGAACACAGTATAAATTGGTGATGGATGATCTCGATTCGATTTTCAGAAAATCGATCTTTTTCCTCAAAAAATTGTATATTAATTGATTCTTTTTTGTTTGATTTTTGTACGAATTGATCCTTTCAATAAAGGATCGATTCTTGATCCGTTAATGTGCTTATTCATCAATGTTGTTCCATTTAATGAAAAATTCACATGTTGGATCAATATCTGATACAATTAGGATATTGTTTTAGGTGTGTATTTCAGAGGACTATATAAGTAATGGTAAATTTGTAAACTGTGAGCAAAAGTTATTACCAAGAGGATTTAGAATTTCAATTAATTGAAATCTTAGTTTACTGGAAACTGAATATTCCACTTTTATAATTTCTACATAGAACGCGGAAACGCTTTGAATATTAATGGGTCAGGAAGAGAAATAGAAAATAAACGATGAAATATTTTTATAAGGGATTCGTTACTTTTCAATATTTATTTGGTATAAACGCTTAACGTTGTCGCTAATATAAACAATGATTCACTCAACGAATTATGGTCAGACTGAAATTAGCCATGTTTGGTGTCAAAAGAGACTAATTTAGGATTAATATAGTCTTGTAAATTTAATAACTTGCATTGGATTACTTACAGTTTTAATGATTCCTCTAGTCTGATTAGTCGGTCGATATCCTTTCGAACAAGTGCATTCATTTGGTTTTAGACACGAGCCGTAAGGTTCGCAGGGAATATCGCAAATAACTTTGCACTCAGATAAGCTATGGGGCTTCAATTGGTATCCTTCGTTGCATGTACAGGTGTCTGGTCTGATGCATCTTCCATTGACACAAGGAGAAGAGCATATCGGCTCGCAGATATAACTCGAGTTTCCGAGTAATCCATAACCGTTAAGACAATTGCACTGTTCAGGAGCTTCGCAAATACCCAAGACGCAAGGTTTACTACAGATTGGCTCGCAAACACCCCAATTTAACGAGTAGCCTGTTTCGCAAGTACACACGTTGGGTGCAGTGCATGTGCCAAAGTTACAACCTTTGTCGCATTTGGGTTTGCAGACGAATAAGTTGTCCGGATCAGACTCGTAACCATCGTGGCAAACACAGATGTTATCGACATTGCAATCGCCGTTCATACAATTCAGACTACATATAGATTTGCAGTGCTAAACGAAGGAAATGCAAACTTTTATCAAATATATTATTGATTACGTTAAGTAAAATAAAGCGCTAATTAAGTGGCCGGTAATCAGTAGATCTGATTAGTATATACTCTTGAGTTTTGGTCGAATCTAAAAGTACATACATTTATCAGATTCTCAAAGTACCGGTCGCTTGCTGAGCGTTTTGTTTTATCAAGTATAACCGAGTATCGCAATGGCGCGTTATCTTTTTTCGTGTTTCCGTTTCCTTCGATATTAATATTTCTTCAGTTAGTCACATGACGAAAGTGTGTTATTTTCATGTCGTGCTTGACACGCTGAGTATAACTTTTCATTTTGACTTTATGTCTCTATCGATCGTGATTTTCATGCAAAGTAAATAAAATTCGAATTTATAAAAGGGCCACATTTAAAGTATTAAATATAAAGAGGAGGCAAAAATATAGATCAATATTCATTCGCGTTTGCGGAACGATTATATTGTATTATGTATCTACCTTAGTTACACTGTTGTCATCGTCCACATCGATGTATCCTGGCAGACAGTCACACTGATCAGGTTCAGCACAATACGATCCTGTCCCGCATTTTAAGTTGCAGACGGGGTCGCAGGTGAAACCGTCATGGTTCAACGAATATCCATGGTTGCACTTGCAAACATTAGGCGCAGTGCAGTTACCGTGCAAACAAGTGTGAGTGCACTCAGGGACGCAGGCATTGAGCGCAAAATCGTAGAGTGGCGATAAGTATATTAAACTGTATCCAGGGTCGCATTCGCATATGTGCGGTCTTATACATATACCGTGTGGACCGCAAGGAGGTTCGCATATTGGCTCGCACATAGAATCATTTACCTCTCTATAACCGAGGCAACATACCTTTTCAGTGCGGATCGACGTATCAAACTAGTAATGGGAACAAAATACATGATATTAAGTAGCTTTCTCAGTTATCCGAGTATTTACCCGGGCCTGTCGAGATTATCCGGGTGCCCGGGTAACTGAGTATACGATTAATTTCTGGCGTTACAAATTATTGATTTATCTAACGATTACAAATAATAAATGAATGTATTGCAGATTTGCAACTATTTACTCGTTACTGTTTTCCGATTACCGATGTAATATCCGTGAATATAGATGTTCGGATATAATCGGATAACATCCTGAAGGACATGGGTATTCAAACTAGTTAGTATTACCCGAGTATGAAAATAACCGGATTATACGAACAGTACTAATATTAAAAACATTGTGATATTTACATGTACGATGATGTGCGACTGAATTACGATAGTGTAAACAACATTACTAATATAAAACTGTTTGGTGAAAGCGAATGTGAAAATATTCGTTGTTCATATGTTATGCGTTTGTCCAGTATTCACGTTTAGATATATCGTTTGATGTTATAGTAAAGAAAACAGAAAATCTATCATCAAATCTTACCTCGTTTTTAAAGTTCCATCGCATTTCGTTCTTATAAAATGGACCAAACCCTATATGCTCTCTAAACATTTCCGGAATCGGGACCTTATGGCTAAGTCGAGAACTGCAAATAACGAATAATTTTAGCGACGTTAGCATCCTCGTGTATTGAACCCGTTACGTCACACGGTTGATATATCTTGCTATTCTGATTTATAAAACATGACATGCAGGATCCGTTATATACTTATAGCTTAGATAAATTTGAATAAAAATGTCCTCTACCATTTTGCAAACAACCATGCAAAATTTTGAATTAATTATTAATTAACTAATAATTATCGAGTTATTTAGTTATTTATGTTATTATTTAATTATTATTATATTTATTATAAATTATATTTATTATATATTTATTATAATTAATTATTAATGATTGAAAATGGTCATATATAGAGACTTTTTTAATTAATAACTTAAAAATTTGTGTGATTATTTGCAAAATAGTAAAAGATTTTTTCTTCAGAATGGCTCTAATCTATAAGTATATAACAGCTGTATTTAGCAACAGACAGAATATTGAACCTTGAATCTTGAATTCTGGACCGGTCGATAGATTCAACAGCCACCGTATATATAAAGATTTTAAACAAAAAAATTCTTTACCATGTTGCAATACATGGCCATTTTCAATAATTAATAACCCAAAATTTTGCGTATTTGTTTGCAAAATGGTAGAGGTAAATTACAAATATATGATGGATGGAACAGCTTGCATCAAACACCCTGTATATTATCTATATCTAATCATCTTACCTTATAATTTTTTCACACATTTTACTCTTTAGCTTGGTTCTGATTAAGTTTTGATTAGTATGTACGATTTGTAGAATGCAGAAAACACATATAATGTATGAAAACTTCATAATTACTAAATATATAAAATATATTTTAATGAGGCAACGATATCTAAATGAGCGATCAATGCAGTAGTTCCAACATGCATCGCTCTGTGAACTAGACTGATGTCTATTTCCTTTTTCGTTATGACCATGTCAACGCATTATCAGAATTCGACAGGATGTTGGCTACCATTGGTTAGAAAATCTTTCTCTAAAAAAGTCATTTGTGTTATCTAAATCTGGAATGTATCGAAGTCGTATAGAAGTGTTGAAATCTCTTTCCCGTGATGCTAATTGGCTTTGAGCTGCTGCTTGTTTCATGCCACGCCTGATATTGTTAAAATTGTCAGTTGCGTGACAGTTTGACCGAATATCAGCTTTCTTGACTAATATACGTATATATAACAAGTGTCCCTCTCCAATTTAGATAATATTTATTTGGTACGTATTATTGCTGACAAGTTATTCATTATTTTATGTCACAATTGTTAATTTACTATACCGAAAAAAAAAATTGAAATTGATCCATGAAATTTTGTCTTAAAAATAGAAAAAGCGTATATCTATTTTATATAATTATTACATACTTTAAAAAAATTATTATATATCACGTCACATATTTGCATGGGACAAAGTAGAGCGCACATGACATATAATCGTTTTATAATTTTATAATTTATTATCGGTTCGTGTATACAATTCACATTGGTTATAATGCCTGAAATTATTCATTGTCTCGTCAAACCTACACGAAAAAAAATCAACCTTAAATCAATGATAGATATCCTCATGTATAAACAAAAATATTTTAATCTTCTTAGGAGGTTTTCAGTCTTGATTTGATTAGATCTTTATTGATTCAAGTATTACTCAATTCAAGACTAAATATCTCCTAAGAATATTATAATATTCCTGCTTATATGTGAGAATATCTGTCATTAATTTAAGCATCTATTTTTTTTACGTATCGAAGTATCGGCCTTCCGCTTGGTATACTCAATATTTAACTTCAAGAAACATAGTGTTTACTCTTGCGGGACGCACCTCTGACGGCCCTTGACTCCGGACTCCTTTCGATATCCGGGATTGCAGAGGCAAAAATTCGGCATAGTGCACACTCCATTCGCGCACCCGCCGACGCATACCGGCAGGCACCTAGAGCGCGTGGGGTCTCTAACATCGAGCATGTACCCGCGATTGCAGGTGCATTGATTCGGTCCGGTGCATTGGCCGTTCAGACATGGATATTGGCATAAAATATCCGTACCTTGTCCGTCGTAAGAGACGCATCTTCCGGTATTGATATCGTTGTAGAAACCCGGGTTGCAGGCGCATACGTTTGGTGCAACGCACCGGCCGTTCGGGCCGCAATCGTGCCTGCAGTGTGAGGTCGAGGTCGAGGACGTCATGGGTATGCATCTACCGGTATCGGGGTCGTTTCTGTACCCTGGTAGGCAAGAGCAACGGTTGCCGATGCAAACACCGTGTGTACCGCAATCGTGCCTGCAATCGCCGGGTTGCGATGGGTTCGGCGACATCGCGGGGACGCATCTGCCGGTGGCGTGATCGATTTCGTATCCATGATCGCACTGTGACTCGCTCGTACTGAACTCGTTCGGTAGGCAACGTCTACTGTGCTGGTCGTGTTTGTAGCCTGGGCTGCAGATACATTGGCCGGGTGAGACGCAGTCGCCGTTGATGCAACCCTGCGGGCAGTCCGGTACGCAATTGCCGCCGTCGTCGATCTTATAGCCCTGCCTGCACCTGCAAACGTTCGGTGCGACGCACTCGCCGCCGTTGCAACCTCGCGTGCATACCGGATTGCATCTACCCTGCGAGTCGGGACTGTAGCCTTGTAAGCAGTTGCATTGACCGGGGGCGACGCAATTGCCACCGACGCAACCGCCTGGGCAATGAGGAACGCAGGACTCGCGGTCGTTGGGGAGATTGGCGTATCTACGGCAGAATCGTGTTGATGGTTGCATTTACGTCGTGATTGCGTTGTTGGACTCTGGCCTGATCCGATCAGTAACGAACGTTTGCGATATGTTTCATACTCGGTAATATACAGGGTATCCGGCAAGCCTTGACGAAGCGGCCGTGTGCGGGTAGAACGGTAACTAAAGCAAAAAAGACCTCCACATTTTGAGTTCTTTATTAAAGAAGCTTCTATACGTGTCCATTTTTAGAAGTTCGAAATTTTGCATAATTATTTGCGAAGTGATATATAACGGCTCAGTTCAATCCGTTCTACCTGCATACGGCCGGCCGGTCAAAATTTTCCGGACATCCTGTATGATTTCACATGAGGAAATGAGAAGTTGACAAGATAAAAATACTCCGTCAGAAAGTACGTTGAAAGATAAGGCGACAGCTGTTAAACACCGTCTTTACAAAACAGTATTATTACGATTATAGTATTTACAGTTTACGTTAGCGACGCATCGAGGGCGGCTAACTACGAGTATGTTCAAATGTGAATGATATTATTCGCGCAAGTAACCACGCGAAGATTACAGAATAATGAATTTCTGCATGAAGAACTGTAAAATTAGAATTACCCTTGGTGTAATATCACGTTTTAGGAATGTAATAGCAATTTATCAATCATAGATATTGTCACGTACATGAGCTTGAGGCGAAATTTAATTATTACGCGGAATGCCATCGATGCGAGAGATAGCGCGAAGTTGGTAGAGACCGTAGAACTTGAAAGTAGGATATGATATTAATTACCCCTCGTGACAGGTGCATACACCCGGTGCGGTGCACACGCCGTGAGCGCAGCCGCCTTCGCACGCTGGCACGCACTCCTTGCGATCATTCAGAACAAATCCCGGCCTGCATCTGCAGACGCGCGGTGCCACGCATTCACCGTTCCTGCATCCGTCGGGGCAGATCGGTTTGCACTCGCCGTTGATCTCGTCGTAGCCTAGTTGACACACGCATACTTCGGGAGAGAAGCAATAGGCGTTCTCCTGACACCGGTATGTGCAGACGGGCATGCAAACGCCCTCTTCGGCGCGCCATCCTTGTTCGCAGCTGCAGATATTCGGTCCGGTGCAGTGCCCGCCGAAACAGCCGCGATCGCAGTGCGGCTCGCAATTGCGGGTCGTCACGTTGCGCTTGTAGCCATCGCAGCAGTCCAAGATGGTGATAAAGCCGCTGTTACTCTGATAAACGGTATTTTTCTAGTTATACGATCTGCGCAGCAGGATTGTTGGAATACTTCGTGTCGTAGGGGTTCCTCGATTAATGCACTGTCGTCTGAACCCGAGACTCGGAGAGTGTCTTACGAACATTCAAGATGTAATAAGAAAATTTGTCTAAATAACGCTGAAGGTTTTGTGTTATCTTAGTATGAGAATATATTAAAAATATACAAATATATATATTAAATTAACATATTCACCTTATTAACATATTACTTTTTAACATACTCTTCTTGTTAAAGTAATACAAAAATTTCAGTGGACTGTTATTTATATAAAATTTCTTACTGTGCTAAGATAAAAGTGGTACGCTGGCAAAGTTGCGTTGATAAATGGACAAATATGATAAATCATAATCACGTCATAATAATCATAATCAAAGAATACTGGGGATTTCGATTCGGACGATGATCATTTACTTACGGGTTGACTGCCTTCAGGTGGTTGGGGAATAGTATTGTACGGCGACCCGCTAGAGTTCAAAGCCAAGACATGGCTGTATCTAAAATAAGCGCGAGAATGTTATGTCTACATTACTTTTATCATGTGTGAAAATATGGAAAATAACATTGAATTTCGTTACTCTGTTCGCACTCGTTTCAAGAAACGACCACTTCAAGACGTAATTCGAAAAGTAAATTACTCACGGCACTGTTATGTAGCAAAGACCACTTGTTGAATTGTTACCAATCTGATTTCCACTCGTAGGATAACGTGGCCGATGTCCACCCTTTACACCATCAATTGCCCAGGTGCTAACGCCCAGGCACGTAAAAATGACCAAGCAGATCAACGACTTCTGCATGTTGTATGAACGATCGCGGATTTACTAATGGTTGCTGATTTTCGGTCAGAGAGTGGACAACCTCGCGATAAGAACATCGCAGAGGTCAGCAGTTTTCATCCTCTTGATTAAACTACGCAACATGCTCGTTCACGGAAACAGTTATCCGTTATGTGTATCGATGTATCGTTTTAATGAGGTCGAGATGTCAGTATGTGTTTGTCTCTTTCGCATATTCTGCCGCATGTCTCACACTTTTAGTCTTATCTAATTACTCATTGTTATTAATTGGACCATGACAAACTTATTGCACTTTTATCGAGTGAATATATTATCAATCGAAAGTGGACGCAAAGTGAAAAAGTGAGGAACAATGTATTACAATTAACAATAAATTTTTAATTTGATATATATATAAATTAGAAAATTTTATCGATTGCTTTTTATATAAGAAAAATTATCTAGAGGAAAAATTTTACCGGATATAATGAGACCGGAGAGATGAGCATAATTCTTTAATTAAGTCCAAATAATTTTTACTTTTTCAAAGTAAAGATTGCAAAAAACATGTATGATTTACTTTAAATTTCGCATAATTCGGTCACTTACATAATCGTTGTTTCTCTCTTCTCCTTATATCATTTAGGAATGAATGTACGGGCAAGTCGCAGCGATGATAATAATAAGGCCGCGCGAAGATTTGTTAATCGCGATAAGCGTAATCTATTTAATTTTTTTCAGCTATGATAAGCCAAAGCTGACTGCAAATAACATTTCCTCGAAGCCGTCGCAAATGTTTCGCGCGTCTGCAATTAACCGAAGAAATTCATTAAATTATTCCGTGATGTTGAAATGGAAAGTTTTTCTCCTTCTTTATGGAAATCACAGGAGAAAGACGGAATGTTTCCACTACTATCAAAGATAACAACGTAACGTTTCCTATTAATCATTTCTCTCTGTGATTCCCAGCTTGCGAAATTACTCTATGCATGCATGAGCTTCTCAGAAGCCAAACAGATCAGTTTAATTTTTTGTAAATTTTTCTATTTTAGTACCAGAGAACATACATGATTATCTTATCTTTGAAAATTAAGAAATATACAGAAGTAAGATAAAATTGTTAAAAAAGTGAAGTTGAGCAATTTGGTTTCGGAAAAACTTAAATATATATATATAGAAATTAATACGATATATAATATATAAGCAACAGTAAGAAAATAGAGACAAATATAAAAGCATTTTAGATATATTTTATTACATCTTTTACTGTAGATAATTTATCGCAGATATAATGATTTAAATTTACCTTTACCTAGAATGATATTAATATGTTATATCTTCTTAAAATCATATAATTCAAATGGCATAGATTTTATATGAGATTTTGAGTGTTCAATTCACGAAATATACTGCTTCTTGCGATAACAATGTTTGCAGCATTTATTGAATTATCGCTTATGCGTCTTTACCGATTTGTTTGGAGACGCAGAGTATTATCGCAGTATTATCATAAGATGCACTTCCGTTCATAGATAGAAGTATCGCTTCTTTGTAATACGATCGCAGTGAGAAAAAATTACTATTATTGTTGCGTCGAGTAGTTCATAAAAAACTTTTAATTCATAATAATATTATATTAATGCTAGAAACGTTAACAGCGTATTTATTCTCATGCAACGTAATAATGTAAACCAAGAAGAATCGTTTGTGACATTAACTGAAATAATTAAACGACGGTTTTATATTTTTACGCAAGGTGATTCATGTTGAGTAAATCGTGCCTACTTTACGAACGAAATTGCCAGATTTAGCGGGCAATTTGTTCTCATTTCGCGTTCCATTCGCGAACAAGTAGTTCACCAGTTTTACATCGCTTCTATAATGATAGTCAATGCGGGACTCTATTATTTCGCACTTTCCATCTAATTGCGCGGTCGCGCGTAATCAAGTGCAGTCGCGCTGCGTTTGACGTCATCCCGTTGAAACTGTAAAATAGTTGATTCAGAAAGTTGCACGCTTCACTGGTTAAATCCAACTGGCGGTCACTGACAGTTCACGGCGCTCGAACGACTTGTCTTTCCGCTTGTACCACTCAATTATAGTCATATTCAACCTTGTACGTTCGGCAGCTGTGCGTAAGGTCGGAAACTAGTATTCGCATTTTTCACCAGGACTGGACTACCGGCTTTTCATCAATAGTCGGTCCACAGCAAATTACGTTTTGTCCAGAGACACTTCGCATTTTTGTTCTTTTATTTTCCTTCGTATTTTTTTTTTTTCACGTTAACGTCGCCTTCTCTCGACCACGAGCAGATTTGGCTATTTCTGCGAACGAATACAGAAATTTGCTTGTCACATGTCCTTGTGACCGGACAACGGGGTGGTTTGTAAGGGAATTTCGTCGTACACGTGCTCCGTATTATGGTCGAAGTTCGTTTGCAAGCGTATCAGAGTTGCTGGCGGTCGATCGTAGTAGCCCTCTTGTAACAAATCTACGATTAAAAGTGTAAATATAGAGTCCATCAAATATTTTCAAAATGATGAACCTAAGAAATATGTATACGCCCTCCTTATGATTTATTTGAAGTAACATAATTTATATAAAAACGCGTGCAATTTTCTTTAAGATATAATTATAATGTGCTCGATCTTTAATCCAGAGTTTTTTATCAGGCTTCTCCTTGTTATTATTATCAACATAGAAGAACTTCGTGAGGGCATAGAAAGGATTGAAATGAACAAAAAAGTTCTTTACCATTTTGTAAACCACACACAAAATTTCGAGTTATTAATTATTAATAATTATCATGTATAGAAACTTCTTTAACTAATAATTCCGAAATTTACTTGTTATTTGCAAAATGATGAAGGATTTTTTGTTCGAAGTGGCATAATCTGCAAGAATATGACAGTCGTACCCAGCGATAAGTTCAAGGTTCGAGGTTCAAGGTTTAGTATGATGTCTGTCATTAAGTAAAACAGCTGACATATATTTGTAATTTAGATCATTCTGAGCAAAAATTCCTTTATCACTTTGCAAATAACACGCAAATATTTAAGTTATTAATTAAAGAAGCCTCTATACATAGCTATTTTCAATTATTAATAACTCGACATTTTGCGTGTTTGTAAAATGAAGGACTTTTTTGTTCACCTGAATCCGTTCTACATCTTCCCAAAGTTTGTCCACGTTGATCCGCAGATACCCTGCATACTACAATAAAATTTAGCAGAACATCGTGTACTTACCGCGAAGATTACCAGAAATTCGAAGGCCGATCGTAGCTGTGCCGTTAGCGTAAGTGTTCAGTGACTCGATGCCATCGACCGTTAATATCGTTTCTGGTTCCGCGTTGGCTGCGAGTACGGGATTAGCGCGGATCGGCAGCGCTGAAATCAGACGTGTAAGCGACTCGGCAGTGCAAAGCGTGTCCAGTTGCATTCAGCGATGCGTACGGGACTGATCGAGTAGATACGTGCAAAAACGCCGGCACGAAAGCCGGCTCGCGATCGCACAAAGGATTCGATTTCGCACGAGGCGTAGTTCCTTCGATGGTTATGGCGGTCAAGACTATCGTCGAGATTGCTACGCGGCCAGGAGGTATCGGGGTCAAGGACGCGCGGATTTCACTAAGGATCTAGTAATCGAGAAGAGAAGGTTGCATCGGGCGAGCATGACTCTCGGATACTCACGAGGCAGACTAGAGTTCGCCACCGTGGACATCCTTTCGCTGTTCGCGTTTTCGCGCTCCGGGCTCTTGGTCTTCTCATCGTCGTAGATCGCAAGTCGAATGGTCTCGAACAGTTTGGACCGCATGTGGAGGACCATGACCACCGCGACCGAAGTCAGACCGAGGGAAACGATCGCAGCCACGACGATCAGAGCGATGTCCAACGGGATCGGCGTGGTCTGGATATCGTCTGTTGCGATAATGTCCACGTTTGGTTTTAAAGATGTATTGCCCATAACTCAAAATAATTAAAGTATGATGAAAATATCACAAACTGATTTACGTTGTGTTTAAAAATTACATCAAAAGTTTAACAGTTATTCGGAGCCTGGATCAAAGTTATTCCTCGTTAAAGGAGGTTATAAAGTGAAATAAGTTTGATAAGAATTTGATGAAACTGCGTATATATTGAAATATTATCTAAATTATTGTTCGTGCAATAGAAAAAGCTCGACCATTCGAGAGTTGAGATAGTTGTACATTTTATACTAAATATTATTAATAAATAAATTTGTAACTAAATATTTGTAATTAATATTTTTTATACGTGTTCTTTAAAATTAGCTTGCTATTATTAATTTCTATTTTTAATATCGTCTAATCTTAAAATAAGATTTTAATGAAAAATACTATAATTAATATTATATTTAAAGACTAATATGTAGAAATTATACACACATTTCAGAATTATTGACCATTTTACATACCTCTTTCTATTATCTGTGCATACCTATCAGATCAACTAATGCATAAAAATAGCGTTAATAAGAAAAATAAAAATAATATTTTCATATTCGTAATATTATGTATATATATTTATTTCAACTTCGTTTTAAATTAACATTTATTATTTAGGTACGATAAATGTGTAGAAACGTGATTTTGCTTGATAAATATTAAATTTATGAGTGATCTCTTTGATGTGTCACTGAAAATACAGTACTAATAGACAATACATCCTTAAATCCTGTTGTTCTGCATTGACGATAATTCAGTCGACAGAAGGATACTTGTTTACGCATCTCTGGAAAATTTAGAATCGTACCTTTGTGCACGGTTTTCACGTAATCGATTTTTGACACGCCGACGTTTTCGTCTCTTTGAACGTGTCTGAAGAATTCGTCCTTCATTGCGAATTTTTGTCGATCCTTTTCGACATCTCTTCTGCGCTCGGGGACGGAAACCAGCACGATCACAGGCCGGGCAGTTGTAGGAGGATCCTTCGTCTGTGTCTCGTTCATTGTTGTCCTCTGAGGAGGAATTGCTACGGCGACTGTTGTTGGAGTCGTCGTGTGTAGGATATAATTCGCATCGCTCCATTCGTCATTGATATTTACAGGTGAAACTAAATATTATAACATTAATTACTTCAACTCTTTCGGTATAATTACTCATTGATCTACTAATTAATCATTAATTATTGAGTTACATTGCAAATATTAGGTGTAAAAACAGAATTATATAACATTGTCGATATCAGCACGCGTGAAATTAATTTTTTCAATTTCTGCTTCTTTAGTCGCTAGTCAATGATACGTAATTCGATATTGTTTGTAAAAATTTCGAATAAGAGTAAATTCTTTTTATTGAGATATTCATATTATCATTTTACTTAAATCTCTGTAAAATGTATTCCTTTCGTATACTTTTCCTATACTTTCATAAATTTACTCTTATCGGCTATTAAATGACTGTTTCTTTGCGACGCTAAAAGGATAGTGAGAAATATAGATCGTTTAAGCTCACATGGCACATTTTTCTTGTTTACAAGATTATCTTTAATGTTTGAATAGTCACTTGAAGAGTCATTTTTACGTCCTCGTGCAAACAGTTGGGCAACCTGCTAAAATGCTTCCTTCGAAAAACGTATTCTTTTCACCTTCCGTTTGGCGTTCGGTAGTCTCGCGCGGTGCGGAGATAACTTCTGTATGCTCCGCGTTACTAATCCTGGATGTTTGCACGGGTTCGGTGGTAGAGCTTCGCAAATAGCCGGGCGACGTTTGTTCGACTAAGGAAGCGTCATCATCGTCGTCGTCGGCGCATCTTCCGGTTACGGCATCGCAATCATTATCTCGGCTCTGACATGTGCAGTCGTTGGCACAATTCGGGCCCCACTGGCCAGTTGCGCAATGCTCTCTGCATCTGCGGAAGAAACGTAACTTCTGTAATATCATTCGGCTGGAACACTTTGCCGTCTCCGAGTCCCTCAATTATTATCCTCAAGTATCATTCACGGTATTTCTCGAACGCTTACTGGAGTCCTCGAAGTCCCGGGGGACATCGGCAAGTGCCGTTCGCAGGATCGCAATTGCCGTTTTCTCCGCAATCGCATGTTCCCTCGCATCGCATACCCCAGGATCCCGACGGGCATTCTGCAACGTGCAATCAACGTGTTAAAAAAATGCCTTGATATCGACGAAGAGACGGTGAGTTTGAAATGTTCGCCTACGTCTTGTGATTTTGCATAGACGATCGTATGCAAACTAATCGCGTGTATTTCAGGCCTCGTGGTTTTAAGTTACCGCGTTAAAACATTCCGTCGTTATTGCCGATAGTTCAAGATGACAGTTGTGGCGCAACTCTCATGTAAATTCGTGCAATTAAATGTTTCTTAATTGCGGACGGACGAAATTACCGTGGGTCTGTCGAATCGCATCTGCGAACTTTATTTGTGGAATGATAAATGCGAATGATTACCATACGCGGCTAGTGTGTCTCTTATAAAGTATTAACGTCGCGATTGCGTTACGCGACGTCGGATGTCGTATCTGATCGACTCCTCGCCACCCACGACCTTCCCGAGCGCCCGCGGGAAAGTAGCGGCTTCGTAACTTCCGGGCTTCCGTAACTTTCGAAGCGTTCCCCGATCGTATTGACGCAACAGTTGCGTGCAACCTACGACTTCCACTTGTTTGATAGCGATAAGTCGTTTTATTATTATCTCTGGAACGCATGGGGGAATCGTACAATAAAAGACTGCGGGAATCGAAGTAATAGAATCACGGGAAATTCCACTTGGATATTACCGAGAAACACTGATGAAAAATTATAATTATTTTCGGTATCAACGATATCCTTTCGTTATTTTACCCACAAAAATAGTGAAGAGAACTATTTCTTTAGTAAGTGTTACTGTAGTGTTAGTGATAATAAATTTACGTGTATATTACTAGTATTATTTTTATAGTTAAAATAACAAAAGGATATTTTTGGCGCCGAAAATAACTATAATTTTCACGGCGTAGTTTAATATCAACTAATATAATCAAATATTAATTATTATTTAGAGATAATAAGAAAATAATATTAATTTTAATTTTCCATGGTACGATGACAAACATCTAATTTCGTCAATTTTCGAAGTCTTTCCGCCCTATATATTTCACATAGAGGAGCTTGTAGATAATTTGCATTGATTAATTCCTTGATATCTCTTTGTCTGTGTTGTTTCATAGCGATTGTGAGCGTGCTATCGTGCAACGACGTGTAAGCTAACGCCTATTGTAACGAGCGTCGTGCGAAAGTGATGAACAAATCCAGTGATTATTATGATTCATATGGAAATGATACTTAAAATAGTCATTTCACATGCGCATTCTCGCAGCCATGGAAGGTCAGTCCGTTTCGTGGAGCGTGAAATTTTTCATTGACGCTGCGCTTCGCACAGCTATTCGGTTATAATTTCGTTTCGAAATTACGAATAATTTAATTTCGTTTTGGTTATAATTTCGTTTCAAAATCCCTGAGTTATGAATTGCTTATTTTAACCCCAAAACACTATTTACAAACCGGATTCGTTTCGTCAATGATGCGCAGCATTATCATGCAGACCTTGTGAATTCTTTTAGGTCCATCATTTCACATGTATATTTATAATCTTAGTTTGCATATATTCCCCTTTTTAAATGTCATAGCTATCTATTAGCACTTAATTACATGATGAAAACATTACCATGTCTAGCCCGATAGGTGGATTTTGCAAGTGACGTTAGTCCAAAAATTTGTTTTATGGCATTCTGAAATTCTTTCGTTGCTTATTTAATACGTCCGTCGTCGAAATGTGTTCGCATATTCACGCTGAAAGTGATATTACGCGAATAAAGCTGATAACGACTCAATTAATCATATCTGTCGGGCGATAAAAATGCAAAGTACATGAGAAGTAATTTTTAACTCACGCGAAGCTACTTTTTCATAAAATAATAACAAGCACGCGTGTGAAGAAGAGGTATAATTGAACTTATAAAAATAACGGGAGCTTCCAATATTTTATTTCTGTCATGCGTCTTTTTTCTGAGAAGTACATAAAAATCAAAAAAATTGTTATGATGACGAATGTAACGTATAAATGTAAAAACGCACACGTCACACGATGAAGGTCATTTTCGTCTTACCACGGGCGCAATCGTCTCCTCGATATCCGGGATTGCATTGACATTCGTTTGGTGCGACGCACTTTCCCGCCAGACATTTCTCGCAAAACGGCAAGCACCTGGCATCCGCATCGTCGTGAATCATCAGTTTATTGTATCCTTCGCAGCATTCCTCCACGGTTTTTGACTTTTCCTCCGTCTATGAAACATACATTCCGCGAGATGTTGTTATAAAGTATTATTATATTATTATCATATACACATACACAGAACAAAAAATATTATATACACATACACAGAACAAAAATAGGCTTAAATTACTGATAGATATTCTCATATATAAGCAAGAATATTATAATATTCTTAGAAAATGTTTAGTCTTGAACTAAATGCAAGTAATACTTGCTTCAATACAAATTCAATCAAATCAAGATTAAAAATCCTCTAAGAAGATTATAATATTCTTGATTATATATGAAAATATCTATCATTGATTTATATATGTATGAGACAAATTTTTTTGTATAGAAATATACAAATCATTATCACATCGGCAGCATATAATATTACCGTCAATTTTGGCGATTATCGATAATTTTGTATCCTTGTTAACTTTCATCCCTGTTCGCGTAATGATCGCTCATTAACTTTTAAATGTTCTTGTGTACGATCCATGGCAGGATAACGGGCATCGAAAATCAAGTGTTAAAGGCCCGAACGAAAGTCGATCCCGCGACGTAATTCGTCGTAAAGGGATACACGCGTGAAAACCTGCGTTCACGAACGTAAATTAATTACGCGTCAAGTCAAGATCGCCGGTTTTTTTCCTCGTGCAAATGTTATTATGTTACACCGTTCCCCTCTTCTGCGGTCGTAAGGCGACGCTCACGTTACGCAAATTTCACTTTTAAACGTTGCCGCAGATCGATGCCAGACGATCCTGTTACATTCTCCACTTTTACTTTTAATTACGAGCGAGGTTCCGTCCGTGAAACAGGTAGCGCACCTTTAACGCGTATTATTATGCTGATGTTGCACGTTTCGATGTCTCGATCGACAACACGGGAAACGACTAATTACCGCGGACTTTGAATATTCACCACTGTGTTTAGCACCGAAGATCTCTCTAGCGTTTTGCAATCTGACACGTTCAAGGAGAATAGGTTGACGTTACATATTGTGAATCTCTCCTCATTATTCCGATTTCTAACTGCACGGGATATGCGTGACTTAGGACTTTTGCCCGTGAGTGTCTAACGTCGGTGCGTTATTACCCAAAAGTTGTGCAATTCAGATGTTTTCCAACAACGTAGAAAACGCCAGGCGACCTCGGCTCGCCGAACGGTAATTCTCACTTGTTACATTATTCCGCTCGTGATTTCTTATCGAATGCATTCCGCCGAGCGACGTAGCGATGATAAGTGTCAATCGCATTATAAGCGGCAATACGTCCCGCTTGGAATAGTTTTTTTTAACACCGATTGTCTCTTTCATCTCGATCGCACATAACAAACTTTGCTTAAATCACATGATTATTATTCATAAGTTTTTGCTTTCTTTCTTTCTTTTACCTCAGTTTACAACTTTGTCTCGCATTCCGCGGCTGCTCCTAGCTCCCGATAATTCTGCGTGATCGGTAATTAACACCGCGCGTTACCTCTGCAATTCCAGCCTCATTCCCGGTTCGTAATTCCAGCGCACCCGTAACTCATGCGAAGTGGCTGCTCATTTTTCTCAATGACGGGCATTAGAAAAAATAACATTTCGCACGAATTGTGAACGTGGAGCGATTCTTCGCGCTTGCGACGTTGTTCGCGCCTTCGCAATAACGCTACAGTTTTGTGTTACCAGGCTCGCACGTTCATTAACTAACTCTTAAAAGCACCTCCGATAATTAGCGGGACGATGGCAAACGTTACCTTCACAACGGCACCTACCTACGCATGAATTCGCGCCGTCACCGAGTCCCGTTCGTTTTCACGCAAACACCGCCTAGTTAGTCGCGTCATTTTTACGTCGCTGGTAAATAATTAATATAACAATAAATTTAATATCGATAAATTTCTGATAAAATATGCGATATGACCAGTACTTAACGTTTACGAACAAAAATTTAAATTGCGTGTACTTCGTACGCCGAAAAATCCATTTCCCATACACAGAGAAAAAAGATTTAACAATATATTTGTGAAATATATGGTTTATTTCTGATGTATGGGTTTAGTTGACTCAAATAAGATTCTTGTTTATATATGGGCAAACAAATGTTTTGTTTGTGAGAATTAACATTTGGTTCTCTGAAACACTTTTCATTTCCACTTCAGAGAACCAAACCTTTGATTCAAAGGACCAAACTCTCACAATTAAAACATTTCTTTGCCCATCTTCAAGAATATAAAAAGAATTTTGTTTGAGTTAACTAAATGGGTTTCTCAGTGTCTAGTGCCAGCAGCCGACATGACTAGGAGATTCATCATTTTTTTCTTGACATTGATCTTCGGTATTTGTATACAAACATACGTGATGACGGTGCAACATCTGACTGGTCGTTTCATAGTATGCTAATAAGCTGAGACGACGTTCGACCATCTGGTGAAGTCGCGAAGATCGCATGAATTAAACGAAAGCTTAAGATACTGAAATGGTGAAGTTCGCAGAGAAAATTGCTGTGTACATTTCTTTTGCATTGAGACACACCGTCGTTTAAATAATCGTATTCGGGTTCACAAGGTAAAGACGGGACAAGACCGGCGGCTTTAGAAAGATCTAAATGGGTCGATAGCAGTCGATAAAACGGGGCGATCTCACTTCAAATATTTGCGCTAGATCTAAATTAATTCAAACGGGCCATTCTTGAGATTACCTCGACACGTTTCGCTGATTAGGCGCACATTATGCAAATAATCTTTCAGGTAGCTCTTGGGAATGAAAGCGGAAGCGATTGAAACGATCTTTAGTCGATTGCCTAATTAACGTGCCGCTTTACAATCTCGTTTCGCGTCTTATTTCAAATTATATCGGACGGTTGCACTCGTAAGCGCAATACAAGCGTGGCAAAACATTATACAATGTTGGAGCGGACGAGAGACTTCTTATTTGCACGAGATAATTTACCCGCGATTTCGCTGTATTCGACGTTTATATTGGGTGTATTGCGAAATCACTCATTTATCTTATTTTTCCACTTTGCGATGGGCGTTTCAGCTTACTTCAAAATTAAGTCTACACATATCGAGCGTACACAGTAATCGCTTATACGAGTACGTTTCATATAGAATTAAATATCTTCTCAAAAGCAGGTACGCGCGCGCGCGCGCGCGCACAATTCAAGAGGAAAAACGGTTGTTTCGAAAGAGAACGATGATTGTCGTAATATATATAATGCGGTATCGATAATGGTGAAATTTCCTTCTTTCTCATAAGTCGCACGAAATAAGTTCATTGTCCACGTAATAAGCGGCGCGCGAGTGTCTCACGTACGTATACGCGCACGCTACCTCACATGGCTTTCGTCCGCGCGCGTGTTACAAACGCGTTCTCTCGCGTTAGCAGCGCGGGAACGCGCGATCCGCTATTTTCCATTTTAAGCTGATCGTTCCTCTTTCGGCTTTGATATAATACACGGTGTGTATCGTATACCGATTACACAACGCATAATTACGCCACGAACGAGAGATCATTTCACTTCCGGCCGATGCCACGATTCGCAAATTCGTGCGTGGCGGCATATACGCATACATATGTATGTGCGCGCGCGGATGCATACGCGAATTTTAAAGCCGGGCGAGAGATCCCGAGGCCTCGTTAATTTAATTGGCAGACGGGCGATTTGTTCGACTATCATCGGGTCTTATGAGAAAGTATGAGTTTCTCTCCTATAATTCCGCAAAATAGCTTTCGGGGATTGAAATGAACATGAATACAACAACGATGGCTCATAACTGTCTCATTAAGAGGCGGAAAAGGTATCCAATTCTAAATCAAATTCTATTTTGACATATTTACATCATCCTAATTGAGAAACTCATTATGTACCTTGCGGATAGGCGTAAATTACACTAGTCGACGTACAAATTGTATCCTGAATCTGAACCGTTAATTATAGTTAATTGTAATAGTTTTGATCAGAAACATAACAATTAAAATCGAAATTCAGCTCTGATTTTCATCATATAGTGAACAACGATCAAAAGGAAATTTGATATTTGATGCTTTTATGGTGTGGAGAAAAGAGAGTATCTTTAAAATTATTTCTTTTAAAGCTAATGTTTTACTTAAAAATTATGTGTAAGGCAGTCTTGTAAGAATTTCTGAATGAGACATGGGTTTTAATTTCCTATAGGAAGACATAGACTATTTCTATTCTTTCGTTGTAACATTTTTTTTATTTCGAGTTCGTTAAAAGACGCCGTAAAATGTGAATTTTAATTTTTCTACGACAAAATAAAATATAAAAAATAAGAAATTGTAGTAAAAGTAAGTTCTATTTTTTATTTTCATACCTGTTAATTTACAAACATCAAAATATAGCCTACATTTTGTGTACTATCGCCAAATAATTTATTTTATTATCATTTTCTGTTTCAACACATAAACATGAATAGAAAAAATTAAAGTTCAAAAACGATACATTTTATAATACGAAATTTGTTGATCAGTGTTGTATGTAACGTTATATATTTTTATATTTTTTTCTTTTTTTCAAGAGAAATCTGATAGCGAGAAAGAACACAATAAAGAGAGAGGAGCATTGATACGTGAGACATTTCTCCGCATGTGCATATAACATCGGAAATTAAACTCGCTGAATTTTATAATTAATCCGCGTTCAATTGACTCGTTCTGAAGCGACGAAGACGCGAACGATGTTTCATCCGGTTGATGACACGTGGTATTTTTTGCATCAGCTGTATCCACGTCGTGGATTGACAGTCTGTTTACACAACACGCGTCACGTCTCATCTCGTCGTTAAACGTCGTGCTTGGCTTCGCGTGCGCGTTATCGCTTGCCAGCCCCGGCATACCGTAAATCAACGAGAGAGATTTCACATCGACTTTATTACGTCCGCGCCCGAGCAATTCCCTTCTTAATTGAAGCCGATAATCGGGGCTCGCCGTCGATCTCTCGTTAAATTACAAGCGGGCCCAGCGCGTTCGAATCACGCCGCGAGACATACCCGGCGGATATCTCTCGAACGTAGTTCCTCGAGCGTCCATCTATCTCGTCGTTTGTCGTTTGCGATTGAATGCGCATTCTCCGGGAAAACGGTGGTCGCGCGACCGACAAGTTATGTTTCCTCGCAGCTATCCGGGGAAAACTGTCCTATTATCGCGCGAAAATCGCAGAGACGTCGGCATCGAATGTGCGATGCGTCGAGTTAAACGTCTCGCAAATCGTCGACTTCCGGGCGTTTCCTTTCCCGAGGTGCCGAGACGCCGTGCGAAGTCTTTTTCAGCTAATGGCCCGCTCCTGGATCGTTTCGTAATACCGACGAAGCCAGGACAGGTTCCACCTTCTTTCGGCGCGATTCGTCAATTCCGCATTTCACGGCGCGTAATTGCAGCTGCAGCTCGTCGCTCCCTCCCCCCCCCCTCTCTTCCCACCTCTTCCAGCTTCCCGATCTCGTTCTTACCTCTTGTGTGTATTTTCACATTTTTTTTTTATTTATTTGCTTAATCAGACGGTCGCAGTTGATGCGGACTTTCCCCGCAATTAGACCGGATCGGCGACGGCGGGCGAGCGAGATAGAGAGAGAGAGAGAGATGCCGAGCAAGGACGCGCGGGAGAAGGACGGCGAGTAAGAGGCAAAAGCGGAAGAATAGGCAGGTTGTTTTATTGCATTGTGTATATGGGCCGCTACACGATTTAGCCGGCGCCCGCCACGCGAAGTGTTCCGAGTGTATCCCGGCCGATCGTTTTCCATTCGCGTTGCCTGGGAAACGACATTTTTCCATAACGAGGCGTGGAAATGCGAGCTTATGTAACTTCTTCCGTGATGCAATTGCTAGCGTTAGAATAAATTACGGTCCCATTGTGTCGTGGCGGCGTTCGTTCTTTAAGAATTTTTGTTTGGTCAAACATAACAATGCGATTTTCCGTTAGCGTTACGTCGTTCGCCTTTTTGCCTCTGTGTGTGTAAGCCAATACGCGGAAATTTTCAGTCGTAAATCCAACATTGGAGAGTACACTTAAATGGAACAAGTGCGATAAAGACCTCGTCAAATCGCCGCAGACTTTTGCCGATATTTCGACGGAACAATGGTTCTCGCTCGCTACACACTGAAGCCTCCCGCGAGGCCGATCTGACGCGCTTATGGTAAATTCCTTTGTTGCGTAAGATTGGTGTATTTTTCTATCCCTTTGAGTAGCCTGGGAAAATAGCACTTTTCCACGGCGTCGCGAGAGCTTGCGAAATTCAGCGGAGCTGCCGCTACCGCTACCGTTGAATCCGCTGATGATGGATAGGTAGTAAAATTAACGAGATTCCCTGCGTAAATATTTATGTCGAATCCTTGTAGTATGCTTGCCGGAGAAAACTCACTCTCTCTCTCTCTCTCTCTCTCTGGGCTCGAGTAACAACGCGTTTGTTACTAATGAATTGTCTTCATAAGCCTTTGATACGCTTGATTCAAAATCTTATTAAGCGTACTACAAAAAAAAGCATTAGAGAGAGAGAGAGAGAGAGAGAGAAAGAGGGGGAGAAAAAAAGAGATAAGTGTACTGTTAAAAAAATCTACATTAAATTTAATAATGGTTGTGAAGATTTTGCATAACTTAATTATGAAAATAAAGAAGCCTAAGTCAAAGAAACACGTGTATTAAATTAAAAAAAAAAACCCCTTCTCTTTGTACAGCTACTCAATACTACTGAAATTAATCAACGCGTCTAAATCCGTTTTCGCGAGAGAATTATTTCAATTGCGCTATTTAGGTATGGACATAGTAACCGGTATCAGCATGCGCCGTTATACATACGAGTAACGAAAAATCTCAGTGGACTCACCTTTACGCGATACCGCTGTCGTAGCTCGGTCCGCGACTTCGGGCATCTCGGGGGAATTTGTAAGCACCAGGTGAATGTATTCACCACGACCGGCTCGGTGTAAGTCTCGTATGACGTGACCGTATAACTGCAACGTTCGGTCAATTAGCTATCGACTGGTCCCACGATTCCCTTATCAGGCTTACAACGGCATACCGCGGCGGCAAGGTGCGTGCATAATAATATGTACTATATTACGCACGCCAGCCGCATTGTCAAGGCTTCTAGGTGAAGGTCTCTCCGAACAGAGAGATTGTACGGTATCATCGGTAACTTTAATGATCACCTGCCGAACAGTTGCGCGTTATCATGCGTCATTTTCAACGGGACACTCACTTCTCCACTCTCGAGCAAACGTGATCCCCAATCAAGGAGTTGGAAAAGGACACCATCCTGAAGACCACGATTACGAGGAAGATCCACGGGATCCCTGAGATACTCATCGCAATGAAATTACGGGTTCTGGAAAAACGTTCTCTGTACTAAAGTTATCTTCTCTTTGTGCAATCAGCGAACATTCAAAAATATTTTCACGATGTTACTCACTATAATGGGAATTTCGTCGGCACGACCAAAGCGCTCGAGTTGTCTTCCTTAGTGCCTTAATTTCAGAATTTTTTCATAACCCGTGCAGGAAAAATCCCGGCGGTTGTAGATGGTGCCCGAGTAAAAGTGACGCTTCCATCTTCTCGTGCCTCGCCGTCCCAGTCGGAGCAGAAAAAACTGTCACCAGGCAAAAAAGTGTTACTTGTTACTATCGATAACTCGAAAAGAATTTGGACTTTTTAGAAATGCGTAAATTTTGCTCTTGACAATATTTCGTAATGTCTAGTCTCACTAATTATAAATTGTATAATAATTATATAACAATTTGAATAAAATCGTTTCTATATGTGTGTATGTGTGTGTGTAAACATAGCATTATGACAATTGTCGTTTAGATTATTTGCGTAGCATATAATCGATGATATTTCACGCAGGCGATGTCGAATGATGTCCCCTCCGAAATAACGTTCTCTTTGGCAGGAAATATTAACTGATACGAATTGGTCAATTGTGGCCCGGAACAAGCGTAGCATTCAATATTAAATATGCGTCAAGTGTGAATGTCGGAACGCGACATCAGTAATGCGAAGTACGCGAAAGAACGAGCCGTTAGACAATCGAAATAAATATTTTCATGAGAGAATATTTCGAGTAGCAAATTTCGTGATAATTTTGCCGATAATCGAACTGTGTAAATGTTATCTGTTATCCATTTAATATCGAATTAATTAAGCTAGAAGACAAATATGTCGTTTACTATATAAAATAAGAGAGATTAATATAATCAATTAATTACGTGTTTACATAAATGAAGATATGTGGATGTTATTTTTCTCGTTTAATTTTAATATTAATACTACAGATGATTTCGATCTTTATTTTTACGCGGAATCTCATCGATCGTTAGAGTTTTGCGAAACCGATTTGGCGGATAAATTTTGCTGTCGAAGCTTGCGTTATTAACGTTAATCCGATTAACTAACACCAATACGACGACAGCGGGTGCTTAAAGTCTCCACATGTGGCACATAACACAACCTTTTTTTTCCCGTTGTCGTAATGCGGCGTGATAAAAAGTTCACGAGAAGTCGCTCATTCAAACGCGTCAGCCAGCTGTTCCATTCGTGAGAATCCTGTCTCTTGTTTAGAAGCCTTGCAACAGCCAGTTCTATTAATCAGGAAGAAACTATCTCGCTCGAAATACGCGTTTTCCAGCGTCGTTCATGATATACAAGCGTGAGAAAGCTAATTGTTTTAAACGGCGTGTACAGTTGTAACGTAGTTGTTTATGACGACTGTTAATTAATGAGCGAGTTGAGTATATCGGAATAACTGAAGCCGTGTAGAACGAATCGCTCAACGGGACAGCGTCGGTGAAATGTTTGTCGGTAATTTTAACGTATCGCATTGCAGGCACGATGATATATACATCGACGTATGATTAAAATAATGTTTCAGAATATTTCCATAATGAATTCACGACAATTTAACCTATTACTCATAAAATGATTAAAATTTATCGAATAATTGAAGAGTGCTGCGGTAAATTATCTTAAAATTTCTACTTGTCAAGAGATAATCATTTCGAGTGATTTATACTTAGCCGTCCCGAGTGCGGATGGAATATTCCCCGTCTAATAAATTCTGTAGGTTAATTGACTTCTCAACTTACATTGTGATTTATAACGGACTTTATATTTTATAGCACATTTTACGTCGTCAGCATTATCATATTAAAATTTTCAAAGTAATAAGGGATATGACGAATTTGTAAAACAATGATCGAGCAAGATGTTAATATTCTGGGCCGACGCGGAAATAAAATCCAAGGATAACTACTTTTTAATATTAATTTAGAGATCGTCAACATTTCTCAGCCCTCCAGGAAGAATCGTATCAAATGTATTTTATCGCAGGAATTAGCGATACAAAATTTCTTAGCGCAAGTATCGCGATTACGTAATTTCCCATTAGTGAAATGCCTAAACCGAGTATCTATCTAGCCTTATGCGAGGCTACAAACTAGCAATGAGAATCTAAATGCAAATTAGCCTCAGTAGATGTTACCTCGGTTTGCATTATGCATTTCACCGCATGCTTTTACGAGCGCATTTATGTAATTATAATCGGTACGATCGCGCCAATTAGGCCAAAGCAAAAAAAAATCCATTTTTCTCGCAACGGTTTATTGCTTTTACAACGGAAAGACGAAGAGAGTGAGGCAACGTGTCCTTCTCATGATCGCCCAGTTATCCGTCTCATAAAAGAGGAAAGGATATGCGTCATGTTTATCGTTACATCGATGTGCAGTTTAAGTTGTATTCGTTGACCTGTCATGCGGGCTGAGTGCGTTCGTTTATATGCAAAAAGAGTCGCCCTTTAGTTCCCGCACTATTGTTTTGTCCCGACGAAACGTGCGAACAAAATTTTGCTTTTATTGTAATAGCAAGAATAAAATATTTAATAGCAACAACACAATAATATTTTCGCTGTGTGATATTCATATAAGTGAAATTTTGCTGGAACACTGTGTATGTACACAAGAGGTGCTAAATTCAAGTAAATAATTGCTGCAATACTATTTAGCAAATTTTCATTTGGATCGGGTAAATATTATTTCAATGTAACACTTTTTCTACATTCAAATAATATTTACTTCGTTCAAGTAAAAATTTGCTGAGGAATATTGGAACAATTACTTACTTGAATCTATCACTTTTTACTTACGCAGAATAATGTCATATTACAACAAATCACGCCATAGAATGAAGAGTAATCGTTCTCATTTCTTACTCACTGTAAGATGAGTACTCTCAGTACGCACAGCCTCTGATTTAATCCGCGTAGGTCTTTAGACGTTGCCACTTCCGCGTTAACTTGAGGTCACCTCGTTTCTCTCAGTCCCCGGCGAAAATCACACATCCAATAGGACATTTGAAACAAAAACAAGATCAATTTTTCGTCGTACGAGAAGATCCCTCCTCTCGCAAAATAACGTCGTATCGAAGCGAAACGATTCTATTCGCGCCACGACGCGTATGTACGAAGAATGCTCACGGTTTTCGCCGTGTCGCGATTCGTCCGGCACAATTCACGATCGCGGAAAGTACCGTATCGACAGGCCCCGGTTAATCGAAACGTCTTTCCCGCTAATTGAATGCAAGCCGGCGAGGAAGCCGATTTCCGTCACTCGAGATTCTCTCTCGAAATTGGGAAACCGGGCAGCGGTCTATCTCGCGGAAACACGGCGACCTTCTCGTAGACGTTCGCGAATAAACGCGCGGGTTTCGTTTTTTTTCCTGCTCGAGTCTACAGCAAGGGCCGAGCCCTCGCTCCGGGAAACGTCACTGTCGCTTTCACAGAGCGATTCGCAACTGGCCCCAGCTTCGTAACGAGCAATTGGCGTCGCCGGCACTCGGAATGCACTTGTGGCACAATGAACTCCGACCCTCCGGCAACGACTAACACAGCTACGACGATGACGACGACGATGACGACGATGACGACGACGACGGGGCAGAGGAGGGGCCGAGCAGAGGGCCATCGTTCTCGGAGAAGGAGAGGGACCGTACGGTACTACCATCATGCTGGTACTTCAGTTCGCAAAGCGACGAGGATATCCTGCGGAGACATTGACATTGCGGGCGACGAAGTGTCATTGCGGCGTGGCCACCAGCGGGGTCCGACAACAACGGAGGAGGAGAATGCGAGATACGCGGCGTGTACCGCGGTGTATATGGAGAAACGGATTGAGAGCTGATCCCGCGCGACCCGGATTCGAAAACGACGTTAAGAGAGCACGGCGATGAAAAAAAAAGAAACGGAAATGACGAAACGCTCGAACGGTCCTAAGAAGCGGTGATTGAAACGGAAATCGGCTCTTCTTGCGTCACGTTGAAATGGCAAAAAAAAAAAGAGGACGCTTAATAGATACGGCACGTATCGATATGGCGTTTTCTCAATTGCGCTTTCAGCCACGAAGGTAACGATGGGTAGCGAGGTGACGAGATAATCACGACGTATAGAAATTGTTGTATTTGATCCCGATCGAAATTTGCGCGAAAACAGAAGCGCAGTGATCGGTAATTCGCGTTAATTACGATTGGTAATTGATTCATTGCGCGTTTGTACTTATTCATCGCGTTACACATCTCCGTTTAGCATTGTCCGCGAGTTAGCAACGCGCGCATTATTCTGTGATGTGTCTTTCGCCGCCGTAGTTGAAGCAGCTTATTCTCGTTTACCGGCTGATGAGACGGATGCGAATGCGAGTGTCGTAACGTTAAAAAAGAATCGGAATAGATAGGCGAAAGCCTCGAGTTTAGAGTTGTCTGTCGGAATAGCCGAGAGCAGGCAGATTCGTGTAATGAGATGATTGGGAGGGCAATTCACCGTGTTCCCTCTTGTTCTCGCGGCACGCAATAGATCGGGACTACGGTCGGAACGTCGTTCGAAGCATCGACCGTTTAATCTCGTAACTCTGAACAACATCCTGCTAAATGGAGTAATTAGTAATTACGGGAAGGAACGCTCGGCGAAGCTGGTGCCGCCTTTGCATTTCACTGAAATTAGTCACGGCTTGGAAATAAATTCAGCCCGTCCTGACTTTGACACGGTCGTGTATATTCTTGTTAAGGGGTCTTTGTTTCAATCGTTTATCACGGAGAAACCCAACCTTTCCAAAGGTGACTTTTTACCAAACGTAGATTTTTTTTGTAAAAAATTAAAATTTATATATCCTGTGACGTGCTTACATCGCTGTTACATTGGAACTGAAGCGAAAATACATGATATCTTGAAGATCGATTGAACAAAAATTTAAAAAATATATCAAAAAGATATTGAGAAACACTGATGTGGGTGTGAATATCGGAAGAAAATATCGATACAAAAATATCCGGTATTGAAAGAAAAATATCGATGCAATATACCAGTATAGTATAGTTGAACAATTTTCAATTTTGTTTTGTGAAGATTATAATCAATACGTTTTGTCATCAGTTTACTGAAGATATGAAGTACACAGTACTGAAGTGAATGCAGCAGATATGCTGGCCTCTTCCTTTCAGCTCCTCGTCACTTTGCATTTTCAAGAGCCGGTGCATATGTACCAATCGCGTCTCGATGACGCAGCGTGTCCTACGTGTGCATTCTGTCGTGCAAGTGCAGCCAGCTAAACAAACATTTTGCAATCGCGGGGTGCAATAAACGTGTGCGAGCGCGCGACGCAGCTCTATATTCGAGGTGCATATCGTTTGCCTGCGCGATGCATTCCGGCGATTACTCGATGCGCGGGAAAATGTGAGAAAATGCGCATGCCTCACTCAACGATACGAATAAAATTAAAAATTATCTATTACACAGAAAACAAATTGCTCAAAGAAATTTAATGACCATTTTTCCGTATCGTGAAATTTTTCAATAAAATTCAACGATGCAAAATATAAAATACTAAACGAAGAAAAAAATTGAATTGATTCGTGCACTAAAAAAAAAAAATTACTACGTTCAAGTAAATATTTGCAAAGGAATATTAATTAATTTTATTTGGATCAAATAAATATTACTTGAATGTAACACTTTTTTTCTTTTAATGTGCTATATTCAAATAATATTTATTTAATCCAATTAAAATAAACTATATCAATTCTCTTTGGCAAATATTTACTTGAACGTAGCAATCTTTTTTTTTCAGTGTGAGATATCATGCAGCTTTATTCTAACTGCATGGTGTGCTGCATTTTATGTGGCAGGACTGCGCGGCGTTTGTTGAAGGAAACATTTTTTCTTCGAGCTATTGCACGGAAAAAAAGGAATTATTTGTCCATATAATATAACTGAAATTTATCAGATCTAGTTATGAGATCCACTTTTTAGCTGTGGGAGCTAAAAATTAGATACAGGGATAAGAGAATTAGCTAAATTTCAGTTGTATTATATAGACAGCTGATTTTCACATATGGAAGCTCGTCAGCCAATCGTAATCTCTTATTCCCCGAGTAACGTAGAAACCTCATGCATTTCCTCATCCATGCGAGTTTTCTACGCGCAAAATACACGGTCTTTTATCGCTCGCGCGTAAGAAAATAATTTTCGCAAGTTTTATTAAGCCATATCATGCTCTGATAGCTGCGTCGTTCGTCCAGAGAGGTAGCTCGGATATCTTCGTTATTTCCGGGGGTGGGGAGGAGGAGGGGCGGTAATGGCGCATAAATATGCGCCGGATCGTTTTTCCACTTGTTCTCATGCCCGCGTCGTGACCGAATTCTCGCTCGATCGTAACGGCATAGCTGAGCTAATTAATATGAAACGACGTTTTAACGACGGTAGAGCCGGGGTGTCGCGCGCACCGGCGCGGTGCCGATTAATTCATTTCGCAATTTTGTGTGAAATCACGCGGAGCGCCGTTGCTCAATAAACGCGCCGCTGGAGGATCAGGCACCTGCGTATGAATTATTCCTGGTTTATGGAAAAAAAACACGGCGAGGCGGTGGCGTGACGACCTTGTGAATTATCGGCCACATTATCGTATATTTGGGCAAGATCGATTGCGAATGTAAACTGGCCCCGTAATGTAAATTCTAAGTCATCGTGATGATAATAAATTCAAATCTCGCCCATCTTCTTGTTTTTCACCATTTTTTAAAACCCGAATAAATGTAAGATATATAAAATACGGAGGATTCGCGTAATGACGTCCGCAATTTGCACGGAAAGAAAGAAGCAGCTTCCACGGTTAAAAATTAGTCCCCACAGGTAATAATTAGTTGTTCACACGTGTAATATAATTAAAGTCTAGTTAATTTAGCTAATTATTTTTGCACCTCTACTGAGTTTTTAATTCCTAAACTAAAGACTCTGATAACTAAATTTAAATTGTAAGTATTAAATGGAGAGTTAATTTCTTTTTGCCGCGTATTTCTTCCAAGTGGTAGTGTGCACGATCTCGCGGTAACGAATGCGTGACTAGAGCGCGGGCAATTATGTATATCGACGAGCATTAATTTTTTCAGCCGGTTGGTGAACTGTCGAAGCTCTTTCCGCGATATCGTAATTAAGCGCGGCGATTTGCCGACATCGAGAACACGGCCGAGGGAAGAAAACGGGGCCGAGAAACTGCGGACTCGCCCGTGGCATTTAGATCGACTTAACTTCGTTGTCCTTGCGTCTAAAGTGGATAAACAAGCTGCCGCCGCAAGGAGCGGCCGTTGCGAACAATGTCTGTTCGCTTTTCCATCGATTTTTCGTCTCTCGCGGCTAATCATTTGCACTGACGATACGGTCGATAATACGACGATTATCGTGGCCGATGATTGCACAAGAATAATTACACACCGGGGAGATCTTTTCGTAAACGCGCCGACGACGTTCGTGGAGGGACGTACCACGGAACATTGGGAATCGATAGTTTGTTTTGCAAATAATATACAATCGACGTGTGAGATTACACTACCGGGGGGGGGGGGGG